TAGTATTCAGTCTGAGGTATCACAAACCACCTGGAAAGGTTCCAAAACTTTGGATGTGTTTGAATAGAATAGCTGTGTTGCTCTCTTGGTTCTCTTGATTTCTGATGATTCTATGAGCTAGGTCTTATTTGGGGGGGCTGGGGATGCACAGATGCGTCCAGTGGTCACCAGCTCAGGGGTTACTCTTGGCTCTTTGTTCAAGAATCACTCCTGGTGGTGCTCAGGGCACCATATGGGATTCCGGGGTTTGAACCCAGATTGGCTGCTTGCAAGACAAGTGCCCTACCCACTGTAATGTCACTCTGGCCCCTGGGAGTTAGCTCTTGATTAAGACTAGATCTGGGAACTTCCAGGTTCTGATTGTCAATCAGATTGTTTCCTTATATTGATGTTATCTTTGTCTTTCTCCAAATCTGTCATCCAGTAATGATTTTGGTCTCCCCCCCCTCCCTTTTTTTTGTTGGGGGGTCACACCTCAGTGGTGCTCAAGGCTAACTCCTGGCTCAGGGTTTGGAGCTCCTGGTGGGGCTTGGATTGAATCGGGGTTGTCCATGTACAAGCTCCCTACTGGCTGTACTGTCTCTTCAGCCCCCGGGTTACTATATCCTTCGTAGTTGTTATTTCTTGCTCTGGACACAGAAGATGATGAATAAAATTAATTTTGAGTATTTTCTCTTTTTTTCAACTAATTTCAGATTTTTCTTAAAAATAAGATGTAGTGGCCAGAGAGGTAGCTTAGTGAACTGGAGCTCATAATTTGCATGCAGGTGGCCTAGATTTGATCCTGGCACCACAAATGGTCTCCTGAGCACTGCCAGGATTGATCCCAAGGTGGGAGTAGCCCCTGAGAACTACTGGGTGCTTCTCCCCACCCCAAAATGTACTTGTCTTCTCAAAATAAAGTTTAGGGCATAATATCTTTATAACTATGTTTCATTCCTGTTAGTGAATCAAGTTTCTCAGTCATCTTTTTAATCATCTTAGTTAAGTAATTAGCCAGGCTGTTGTATTTTCAGACTAGTATAACCTCACTGAAGATAGTACTTAATGAACCTGAAAATCCTGCAAATCTACATGTGTACATATATGGGAAAGTATGCTGTCTGAATCCCAGCAGAACCAACTTATCAATTCCTATCTCAGTACACATGTCTCTGTGTACACGTGTTTGCACACATGCTTAGGCATGCGCACATTTATTTCATAAGTAAAAGTGCGCTGAGGGTACTAGTCAGGGTACAAGACTAGTAATTTTTAACTTCACCTAGCCTCCTCAGGGCCGGGGAAATGACTCAGAGGGCTCAAGCTTTGCATGAGGGAGGCATAGTCTCCTAGGCGCCACCAGGAAAGACCTGAGCAGCGTGCTCTGACAGATAGCTCCTTCCTAAGCTGCCCTGCGTTTAGTACAAAAGAACAGAACTGCCCAAGAGCTGGGACCCATGGGCCCAAAACTCAACACGTCCTGTCAGCACAGCTCCATAGTAGAGCAGCCCACGCCCAGCTCCTCACCAGGCGGGCAAGCACACTAGTAAAGAAAACCACCACCCTGCCCGCTGCGCTCAGCATAGTCATTTGAGCTGTGGGAAGCCATTATTTGGTCAGCGTTGGGGTTTCATTAAAACTTTGTAGTTCTCCCACTGTTCATTTAGGAGATGCTAAATAGGCGAGCTTAGGAACAGTTCCCATAGGAATTTGTGACTTTCTCCCTGGACTCTGCCCTCCACACGAGTGTGCCTTCCCAGCCTCGCCACCCAGATAAGACATGGCAGCCCCTAGTTCGAGCTCAGCTCTCTTCCTTGAGGACTCCAGCTGGTTTCTTTCCTGTCGTTCTACTTGGGATGGATGTCGGCACTCTTTTCTTCAAAATGTCACACCGGGGCTGGAGAGATAGTACATCCCCTGCAGGGCATGTGGTCCCCTGAGCACAGAGCCAGGAGTAGCTCCTGCACACCCCAAACTCCCCCAAAGTATCAGGCCCTTTCCCTGATACAGACTCGCTATTGAGTTTTGTGTCATGGTTAACGTGGACTTGGGTTTGTTTTATCTCCACCACCACAGTAGGTTCTTGAGAGGCAGCAGCTGTGTGTCTCCTGCCTTTTTCTTGGAATTTTAAACTGACCCTGTTCGGTATGTCCTTTTTGTAAGGATGAATGTTAAAGGGTGAATGGGTCATGTTAAAGCATCCTACAGAAGCACAAGTCTTGAATGAATCCGGGCACTGTGGACCATAGAAGAGTAACAGCCCTAAGTAAGGGCGCGTTCTCCAGAATCCTTTCATTAAAAGTCAGAGAAAAGAAACGAATTAAGAGTAAAAGAAAAGAATTCCCTGCCAGGGCTGTCACTGTCTGTGGAGTTTATGGTTCTCTCCATGTTGGCTTTGCTTTCCTCAGGCTTCCGTTTCCCTCCTCCAAGGCTGTACAGTAAGGCCCTCTGGAGTGTCCCAGATGGCGCGGTCTGAGAGAATGTGAGCGTGAGTGATGTGTCCTGCCATGGACGAGCTTCCTGTTGAGGGTCAGCAACTTTTTCATACCCTGGGCTGCTGGAATACTCTGGAAACTGAATGATTGAACAAGTGACTCTACATGCTCACTTAATATTGAAAGCGTTTGGGGACCAGACAAGACCATAAGGTGGTAGCCCCTGAGTGATGCTCCCAGAGCGCCCCAGCACTCCTGGGGGTGGGGAGTGCTATTCAAAGCGTTTGGAGGTCTTCATGTAGAAAGGTGATATTGCTTTTGTGCCCAGATATGTTGTAGGAATTTAACTCATGTGTGCAATTTCTTACAGTAGAATTGTTTGGGGTTTCTTTCTCTCAGGGTGGGTGGGGGTTTCTATCCAGCAGTGCATCTAAGAGCATACGCAAGAGCAGCAGGGGATCAGACCTTTAGCTCCCATATGCAAAGCATTAAGATACCTCCCTGGCCCCTAGGATTAATGGGACTTTTAATACATTGTCTCCTTTTATAGGCACAGTTTCTAAGGAACTATTGGTGCTATTAGGAGGACGGAGTGTCCCTTGGTAAAAATACGAGAAATAAATTCTGATTAAACCATTATAAGGCAGCACTAATAAAAAGTTGTAAATCTGTGTACATTTTAAGATTCAGTTTACGGAGGGTCAAAGAGATAGTACAGCAGATAAGGTGCTTCTTGCCTGGCATGTACCTGCCCTGAGTTTGATTCCTGGCACCACACATGGTCCCTCAAGCCCTGCCAGGAGTAAGCCTGAGCATAACTGGGTGTCCTCCCCTCAAAAAAAAATTTACAATTGCTCAGCAAAAGTTTACGAGGAGGGTGAGGTGGTTTGGGTATTTATTATTCATTAATAGGTGAATTATTTGTATGATTGGGAGTTTATTGGGTTCTTCGTGGACCCAGTAAGAGTTTGCTTACCCTGCAGTGGACTGTTCCTGCTCCACTGACCAGCCTTGAGAGTTTCCTGGGGTGTGAAAAGTACCGACACTGTTGACATGTTTTGTTAGTTTGTCTTCCCCCGTGTGATTAATAAACAGGATCTGTTATCACTGAATTTACACCACGTGTGATCTGGTGGGTAATTCAGCCTCAGTCTGGGTAATTGGAAAGTTCTGCATCTCGGACAGTCCAGCTTGCAAACATGGGTGTTTCGAGACTGGGACTGTGTCGGCGTTAGCTTTGTGAGTTGTCTCCTTTCTCTGCCAGATGCATTAGCTCAGCCTGCTCACGTTGGGGAAATGAGAGTTCCAAGCATGCGCTTTTGAACAGAAACCGTCCTTCTAATCACTTACGGCATTTGATTGAACTGAGAACATTCAAACTCAAGCTTTTCAGTAGATTGTTCTGACACTTGTTAGCTGTGGCTTTGACCGGAGGAGAAGGATCAAGATGAAGCACTAGGAGCCATAATCATAATAGGGAAAATTACTTGGCATTAAGAGGTTTAAAGTTCAATAAATACTTGTATACTTATATTCTGCATTTCAGATTTTATAGACTCATGAAGCTGGAAAGACTCTCCACCATATTAGACCAGTCTCTCTCCCTTCCCCGCTTTCTGTCCCTCTCTTCTTCCCCTCCCCCCCACCCCCCCAGGCAAGGACTCTGGCCCCATCTTTCTTTTATTACAGAACTTTTTCCAGGTGTGATGATTCCTTATCAGAAGAACAGATACAGTAGTTTGTATTCAAGTCCCTTTCTTGGAGGTGAGAGATTGACTACCTTGAGAGGTGCCCAGGCCATGTTTCTAGCTCTGCACTCAGGGAACACACCCGGCAGTCTGGGGAACCGTGTGGGGTGCTGGCAGTTGAATTTAGATCAGCCAGTGCAAGGCAAACGTCCTACTCACTGGACTATCTCTCCAGCCCTTGTGTTTTTATTTTTAGACCCACGAGATTATAAACTCAAAACAAGTTACAAACATTAGTACACGGAGGTCTCGTGCCATCACCCAGCTTCCCCTGATGGTGACGTTAGATAAATGGTCATTGTTAAACTTCCTGTGCCCTCTTTCATAAGCCTGTGGCTTGGTTTGGTTTTTTTTCAGGTATTTGACTTTCAGAGAAACACACTTAATGACAGTGGTGGAGGGGTGGGCACTTTGGTGGGGGGGGGGGGTGTAGTCACTTTATGCATCAAAACCATAAATATTAGCACTGATGTGAACGTCTTACCTAAGTAACAATAAAAATTAATACTTAAAAAGGACACCTGTATTGTACCTGGTCATCTTCAGCTATCAGAATTATCAAGTGTTACTTAGAATCCTTATACGCCTGTTGTCCTATTTCTTTAGGGTGTGCTTTTTCATTTCCCCATTTTCGTATTATACCATTGGTGGGAAGGGTTTGTGTTTCATCTGCCTTTCTGGTACTTTTCTCCACAGCCAGCTAAAAGGTGCATATGCCCATTTTATGCTGTATGTTGAAGGAACAGATCAGTTGAATATTTCATCTTTTTTGTTTAACTTTATTTTAGTCGTGTTTGAAAACTTGAATTTTAAAACACTTCCCTTTTTTTTTCAGCCTGAAAATGAAATTTCATCAGACTGCAATCATGTAAGTATGGATTTTCTACAACTTGTCATCTGTACTTTACACATGTACATATGAATATATGTTTGTGTGTGTTTATATATATGAGATGGTAAACTTTAGGGTACTTTTTCAGTAGTTCTGGGAAGCATAATGTTTTCTCAGTTCTTTTAATTTTAATAAGAGGGTCACAGTAAATATGTAGATATTCCTCCATTTTCAAAACTGATAGATTTTCCCCAAAAATATTTGTTTACTTAGATTTAAATTTTTCTTCAGTTACAGCTACCATGTACAAATAATTGGTTGTTTAGAATTCCAGTTTTTGGTGTGGTTTTGTTTCATTTTGGAATAACAAAATACTGAGTAGCAGCAGTACTCAGGACTTTCTTCTGGCTCTGTGCTCAGGGATTAATTACTCCTGGTGGTGCTTGGGGAACCATTAAGGGGTGCTGAGGCTGAACCAGGGTCAGCTGTGCTATATGCAGGGCAAGTACCCTTCCTTCAGTACTATCTCTCCAGCCCCTGAGAATTTTGTTATTTATTTATTTATTGCTTTTTGGGTCACACCTGGTGATGCACAGGAGTTAATCCTGGCTCATGCACTCAGGAATTATTCCTGGCAGTGCTCAGGGGACCATTTGGGATGCTGGGAATCGAACCTGGGTCGGCTGCGTGCAAGGCAAATGCTCTACCCGCTGTGCTATTGCTCCAGCCCCGAGAATTTTGTTTTTTAAAGTTAATTCATTTAGTTATTAGTCATCTACTGTACCAACCACTAGAGTAAAGCTAGAGGCACACAGAAAGAGTTATTGGCAGCCACCTGTCCAACATTAGCAGAGATGGGCCAGGTTATGGTAAAGCCCACACCCCACACGCGTGAGACTCTAGGTTTGGTCCTAGCACCCAAAAAACCTATCATAATTTTCAGCAGTGACTAAATACGTAAAAGTTAAGCACACATATTCACTTATCCATAATTACATTCATTCGACATTGAAGAGAGTCAAATGTGTGCAGAGTACTGAGTGCCGTGGTGACATTTCTACAGAGTACCTTGGAACATACTTTGGGTTTTTGTGTTTTTACTTTGGGACCACCTATGGCAGTACTCAGGGGATTATGTGTGTCTTCCCCATGTAAAGCGTATACTCGGGACGGGACACAAAGTGTAGGGGTCTAGGCGCTAGTCTTGCAGGTGACTGCCCACCCGCTATTTAATGCCTAGCATAGCATTTGGTTCCTTGAGTTACCACCATTGAGGAGAAAATATTTTATATACGAATGTGTGTATATGTGTGTGTGTCACACTGCCCAGAATATATGTGTACATGTAGCACTGTTCTCCCGGTGTTCATCGATTTTCTTGAGCGGGCCCAGCAACATCTCCATTGTGACGCTTGTTACTGGGTTTGGCATATCGAATATTTCACGGGTAGTTTGCCAGGCTTTGCTGTGCGGGCGAGATACTCTCGGTAGCTTGCTGGGCTCTCTGAGGGGCAGAGGAATCGAACTCAGGTCGGCCATGTTGGCTGCATGCAAGGCAAACGCCCTACCACTGTGCTATCACTCCAGCCCATAAGTGTACATATATTTTTTAAATCATACAAAGCAATAAAAGGAAATGGAATTGAAAATAATTGATGCTACATCCAAGTTCACCAAGTCTTGAGAATGACTCTGAATTATTATAAAGGTGTTCAACTTCCTTAGCAGCAGGGTGGGTGAGTATAAGAACCCCAGTGAAATTCTAGTATATGTACCATTTGAATTGTTACACTTTGGGCCTGGAGAGGTAGTATAGCAGATAGGAAAACTTGCCTTGCACACGGCTGACCCAGGTTCGATCCCTGGCACTCCATATGGTCCCGTGAGCACTGCCAGGTATACCCCCACCACCACCAAAAGAAAAAAATAGAGGGCCAGAGAGATGGTAAAGCAGGTAGGGTGCTTGCCTTACACGCAACTGGTAAAGGTTCAATCCCCAGCGCCCTATGTGGTCCCCAGAGCACTGCCAGGAGTGATTACTGAGCACAGAGCCAAGAGTAATTTACCCTGAGCATTGCCAAGTGTGGCCCAAAAACAGTACCACCAAAATCTTGTTGAACTTCAGAAGATGATAATGTGGGCTGGAGAGATAGCACAGTGGGTAGGGCATTTGCCTTGCACGCGGCCGATCCGGGTTCGATTCCCAGCATCCCATATAGTCCCCTGAGCACCACCAGGAGTAACTCCTGAGTGCAGAGCCAGGAGTAACCCTGTACATCACCGGGTGTGACTCAAAAAGCAAAAAAAAAAAAAGATAATGTCCATACCAGTTATATGTATAAATATGAAATAGGGAATTTCATGTAATGATGGTGATAATTGAAATCAGCACAACTACTTTCAAAGCTGTGTATGTAATATTACTCACTTAAGTTAAACATAAACACCATATGTGATATAACCACTCACTTCCCAGGTATTTACCCAGCAGAAGTGCTTATATATATATATCTACCCATGGAAAGAATGATTATGCTTTGATAACCCCATGGGTAAAGGTTAGCAGAACCCTTTCCCCTTCCATGAGAATTTGAATATTATTAATTTCCTAGCTTAGTTTCCTGGTTGGCAACCTAATGAGATTAAAATTCAGCGGAATTTTAGTATTTCATTTCTTATGATAAAAATGATCCCAATTTATAAATTCCACATGAACTGGTAAGAATTACACATGTATATATCACAAATCACTGTGAGAATTATAAATCGCAATAGGTACAGTCCTGAAGCTGAGGCCTTGTCTCGGTGTATCCCTGTCCAGGCCCCAGAAAGCCGTGCCTGGGCCTGGTGCGGAGAGTGCAGTGGGTGTGGGCCTGACCGGGGCTGTGCATATGTTCTCACCCCGGCTGCTGCGTTGGAGACGAGTGGTCAGTGGTTGGTAGACACAAACGTTTCTTGCCCCTCATCCCACCTGGCCCACAGACATTCAGGCTTTCTCTGTTCTGACCGCTCACAATTTCCACCGTCAAACTTGGGATTTTTCTACGGCTGTATGTTTTCTCTTCCCACTTTCTCTCCTCACTTCAAAATAATGACTCCTGTTTTTCTAATTCTTCTTCTTGCCCAAGTCAGAAACCTGAATTTTTCTTTTCCTCTAATGTAGCAGGTGCGTGAATAATGTTTTCCTCAACGTTGTTACATATAACATTGGTGACCCAAAAAAAAGAAAGAAGGAATTGCCACGGGAACAAAATAGAGTTGAGGATCTGGTCTCCTTATAGATTCCTTTGCCCGTCAGCAGCGTTACTTCCTCCAGCAGTGCTTCTTTCTCACTGATTGAGCCCCTGGTCCTGACGTGTCTACCACTCAGAGTCCATGTTCCAGCCTCTCCTGCCGCGGTTCCCATGGCGAACTCCAGTGAAACCACAGGAGAGCACCTGACTGATACTGTTTGCCGTTGCTGTTTGTGCTCACGGAGCGGCCATCTTCTGTGGATACTCATTTTTCTAGTCGCCCTCCTCTGTAATGAAGCACCCCTCATCCAGTCACGTTCAGTTCTATAACAGATGAAGTTTTTCCTCATAGTGCTATCACTCAGTGTATTTATTTGACCATTTGCATATCGCCTTGTAAACGCTGACCTCCATGTATAGCTTAACACTAAGTGGAAACTTTGCATTCTAGAAGCGACCCCCTGAGAACCACGCTTAACCCCTGAGCCTGAGCATCACTGGATATGGTCTAGAACAAATCAGAACAATTGAAACATGCAAAAACCTTTTTAAGAACTCAAGGAGAAGTTTTTAGATTAAAAGTGCCCACAGAGGGGCCAGAATGTTAGTACAGTAACTCTTGCCTTGGCTTTGATTCCTGTCACCACATAATGGTCCCCTGAGTTCGCCAGGAGTGATCCCTGAGCATAGAACCATGAGTAAACCCTGAGTTTCGCCAGATATGGCTCACAAACAAACAAATAAATAAATTGCCCATCAAGGACCAGTATCGTGGACAGAAAGAGAACCCCCTCTAGGGCACATATCAGTGAAATTTCAGAACTTAAGGGAATAAGTGATCTAAAAGCTTTCAGCAAGGGAAAAATGAAGTACTGGAAATTTGAATAATATTATATATACTTATCATCTATGTCACTAGAGATTATTGATATCAAAATTCTGAGGGAAAATTATATCCAGTCAAGATAATGTAAAATAAAGCTCTTTCGGGCATATAGTATTTCATAACATGTGACGTATTTGTTTTCTCATAAAACTGCTGGAGCTTGTGCTTTAAAATGAAATGAGGAACTCCCAAAGACAGAAGGTAAGAACCCAATCAGAACCCTGATTGGTGAATCAGCATAAACACAAAAGCAAAGGAAATTTGAGGAACAGCAGCAGTATGGAAATGGAACAAGCCCCAGCCCTGGTTCAAGCAAGACGGAGAAGTCCAGGAGGAAACTGTCACCTGGGGAATGTTTCAGAGATTTCAATTTCAGTTAGTGGGAATTAATCAGTGATCCACATTTTAAAAAATGGATGTATGAAATAAACGAACAGCAGGAAGTTCTGATATAGGTATAATTTTAATGATCTACTATAAGCAGTTTCTCCCTCTCAGAGAGCCCGGCAAGCTACCGAGAGTATCCCGCCCGCATGGCAGAGCCTGGCAAGCTACCCGTGGCGTATTCAGTATGCCAAAAACAGTAACAGTAACGGGTCTCATTCCCTTGACCCTGAAAGAGCCCCTCAGTACGCCATTGGGCTATGCTAGCACGCAGTAGAAATGAATGGAGACGTTACTGGCGCCTGCTTGAGCAAATCGATGGATAAACGGGACAAGTGATACAAGTGAAGTGATTAGAAGCAAATTAGCTAGAAAAAGTACATGCACATTAACACAACAGACAGCTCCATGAAATAAAGAGAGAAATGCAGGGACAAAAGGAGATTTTCACCTGAGCCTGAAGCTATAGAAGCATTCAGTGACCCCGGAAGAACTGGCACGGTGGCTAAGAATGCCAGCCTTGCGAGTTGTCTGGTAACGACCTCAAGTCCCCATTGCTCGCACATGTGCCGGGCAAGACCCTGGAAGTTGTTGTATGTGCTTGGCATCTCTGCTGTCTAGGATTGATTTCTGCTTGCATTGTAGCTAGCCAGTCGCACTACAACTGCAAATTTCAGTGGAAGATGGAAGTCCAAGAATGACTCTGATGCATGAGGAGAGAAAACTGTCAGACTCCATTTGCCAAAGGGAGCGGGAGAAGGGACAGTTAGAGAGAGAAAGAGGAAACTTTCGCCCAGATTTATAAAAGCAGGAAGGCCTATCCCTGGGGACCTGAGCAATGGTGCAGCGGGGAGGGCGTTTGCCTTGCACGCAGCCAACATAAGTTCAGTCTCTAGCGTAAGGTCTCCTGAGCACTGTCAGGAGTAATTCCTGAGTGCAGAACCAGGAGTAACACCTGATCCAAAAACAAAAGGACGGAGGATGGGGGCTGGGGGGAGGTCTTTCCCAAGAAACATTGGTAAGCTGTCAAAAGTCAGAAAAAAAGAAAAATTATTTCATGCTGCTGCCAGAAGGAAAATATGCAGCATACACAGGCACCTCAGATTTCTCTGCAGCTCTACCAGCTTTGAAAAAAAAAATGATGCATTGCAATCCTAAAAGATCAAAACTTTCAGCCAAGACTCCCCTGTCCTGCAGCATTCCAGATGTGCTAGAGAAGGGAAGGCTTTCCTGATACACAAAAGCTCTTCGAGTTTGCCACCACCTGACCTACAGGGAAGTTGAAAGTTCTTCTGTAGGAAAAGAACAAACAAGAACGCGAAGCTTGAGCAGTGCTAAACACTAATACAGAATTAGAAATAAGAAAAAGTGAGACAATAGAGCATTAAAGAAGAGGAAGAATCAGACAAAATGTATATAGTCTAAAGGTGACTGGTTGATGCCAGCATGCACAAAAGATTATCTCACATACATCACGACCCAACAGTCCTCAGGATAGCTACAAACCAACACCTGGAGCAGAGCCTGCAGTGGAAATTGAGAGACTCTCCAGTGAATGCCATCAAATGAAGAAACTGATTTAGCACTCTTGGAAAAGAAACATTAGAAACATAAAACAACCAGAAAGTAGAAAGCGAAAGATAGAATGGCAGGATTATCCCTTAGATCCGTGGATCATCCTACATGTGGGCCGTGTGCACCTAACTAACAATCAAAAGACACAGGCAGGAGTGATAGTAGAGTGGATAAGTGCTATGCGCACGGCTTATGGGGGTTCCAGTCCCTGGCACCCCTTAACCCTCCAGAAGTGATCCATGAGCACAGAACCAGTGTAAGCCCTGAGCATCACTGGGTGTGGTCCTAAAACAACAAATAAAGACAGTTACTATTTGGGTTACAAAAACCAGAGCCTGGGCCAGAGTGATAGTACAACAATTAGGGCTTTTGCCTTGCATGCAGCTGACCCGGGTTCGATTCCCAGCATCCCATATGGTCCCCCAGGCACCTCCAGGAGTGATTCCTGAGTGCAGAGCTAGGAGTAACCACTGAGCACCACCAGGTATGACCAAAAAGGTGGGGGGAGGGGGGGAACAGCCTATCTATACTTTATGCACAAGAAACTCAGATCTCGAGACAAATACTGATTACCGTAAAAGACTGGAATTACATATTTCAAACCAATAAAATGGGAACTAATACAAACATGACAATTTAGACTTCTGGCTTTAAAAAGAGACTAAGGGCCAGAGATTGCTTGGTTCAGGCATTAAGGTGCTTGCCTTGCAAGCACCAGATCCCCGGGTACCACATGGTCCCCTGACCACTGATGAATGTGGGTATACCCCACCTGCCAGTGTAGAAAAGTTCATGCATAATTTACAAAGCTCTGTGCTGTGACCCTTCCTGCCGTTCGAGATGCGGTGTTCTATTGGGCTTTCAGTTCCTCTAATGAGATCTCATAGTTCCTCTAAGCTTCCTTCTGGAGGGAACTTCCCACAACTCTCTTATTTTCTTAAACACTCTCTTCCCACACCCCCTTGTAATATTGCTGACAGCCACTAGTCCTTCAGGTTTCTTCCCTGGCCAACCCCTCCTCCAGTGCCTGGTGCCCTCTCCTCTGCTGCCGTGGTGATGCCATTAGTCAGGTATTCAGTGACACGCCCTGCTGCTGACTATGGCTGCTGAGGACAGTGCCAGGCTCTTAAGAATACCCGAGTGCACATGTTAGGCCACAAAAAAGTGCTAAGCAGGGCCGATGACAGTTCGAAGGTAGGGAGTGCAGGCTTTACACGAGGGAGCCCTGGTTCAGTCCCCGGCCCCACATGGTCCTCTGACCCCCCTAGGGAGCAGATCCAAGCACTGAGAGGCGAGTAACCCCTAAGCATTGCCAGGTGTGGCCCCCAAAACAAAAGAACACACACCCAAAAAGAAGCCAAGCAGAAATATAAATGATTCCATGAATAATTGATTGATAGATTATTCTGGTCTGGTTTTGTGTTTCTGCTGCAACAGCAGCGTGCGGGACTGTGTAGTACTGAGCAGTTCAGTTGGATCCCCTCTCTTAATCACATCCTTTTCTTCTGGGGTCACACCTGGTGGTGCTCAGGGCTTATTCCTCACTCTGCACTCGGGGATCTCTCTGGTGGGGCTCAGGTTATCCTAGGGGGTGCTGGGAATCAAACCTGAGCCGACTGCCTCTAATACAAGCAGTACCCCTATATTGTTGTCTCTCCACCCACCCCATCCCCCTTGATTATGTGCTTTAGTCTTGGACTGTCGCAGAGAGAAAGGCCTCCCCACTCCTCAAATCTCTTCATGTTCTACATCAGACAATGCCCCTGTTCTGTCTCTCCCTCTGAATAAAGTTTAGGAGCATGCTTTTTATATTTTTCAGATACTGTATCACTTACTGAAATTTTCTCAAAGCTACAAAGATATTGAACCAACCTCACCTGTATTTATTTAGTTATTTATTTTTGCTTTATGGGTCATACCCGGCAATGCACAGGGTTTACTCCTGGCTCCTGACTCAGGAATTATTTCTGGTAGTGCTTGGGGGACCATATGGGATGCTGGGAATTGATCCTGGGTTGGCCTCGTGCAGGGCAAACACCCTACCCCCACTCGCTGTACTGTCGCTCCAGACCCCCAACCCTCACCTCTAGTAATGGTACTTTTAGATTAAAAGTTTCATAAAGTAGATTTATGGTATAAATATCAATTTAGGGTTTTATTTTTTATTTTTGGGCCACAGCTGGTGATGCTCAGGGGTTACGCTAGGTTTTGTAATCAGAAGTTACTTTTGGCCGTGCTCAGGCAACCATATAAGATGCTGAGGATCGAACCCAGGTCATCTGTGTGCAAGGCAAATGCCTTATCCACTGTACTATCTGTCTGACCCCATCAACTCAGGGTTTTAAAAGAGGATACCAAGGCCAGAGAGGTAATACAATGGGTAAGAAGTTTGCGAAGTGCCAAAAGGAGCAATTCTCCAGCCTTCTGGCAAGGTCAGCAGTGGGGAATAGAATCTTTATGATGACATAAATCTCATCTGTTGGTTGCAAAATCTGCAGATAAACCCAACAAACTTAAGCTTCTAGATTAGACTTTTTGATATAAGTAGAATTTTTGCCTATATCCCTTATTCATATTTTCTTTGAAAATCTTATCAGATTTTAATTTAAACTTTTTATTGGCTTTTTAATAACTTTGAATTTCACAAATTTTAAAAATGGCCCTCTAGATAAAAATTAAGAAGTATGTTTGAATGGTATTTAGTCTTCATGGTTTTTTCTTTTATCTGCAAATCCAATGGCATTTTATCTGTTTTAACTGAAGTTGAATATGCGTTATCTGTCTCTGTGCTCATCATTTATTTATAGTAACCAATGCTGATAAATTTCTAACTATTCTAAGCAGAGGGTTTTCCCCCTTCCCCACTCTCTGTCTAGTTGTTGTGGAATTACAAGCTGAACCTAACGACAGATCCCAAATTTGAGTCTGTGGCCAGAGAGGTTTGCAAATCCACAATATCAGAGGTAAGTGGTGAAAGAAGTTTGTGGGTTTGGAATGGCTGGGGAGTGAAAATCACATCTGTTGACCAGTCATTAAGAATAAATTGACTGAATTGTGGACTTGAACTTCACATCTGTGGTTGAGAGATTGGCCGAGGTGGGTGTCACAGAGACTCTCAGTTACTGTCCACCTGTACTTTTGGTGGGTGCTTCTTGTTCAGTAGCACAGACATCAGACTGGCTCCCCAGAATGGGGGCCCTCTCCTCGGCGCTGCTCGCTCCCATTTCACAGTCTGTTCTTCTGAGGCATATCTAAGTGGTGTCCCCAGGAGGCCTGCGGTCATTCCTGAGTGTCTGGGCTATGCCATTGAGTCTGTCGGACCACAGAAGTGTATGCTTCTAGTAACAGGACTCAGCATTATTTTTTAAATTTTTTTATTAGTGAAACACCATAAGGTACAGTTATAAACTTACAAATTTTTGTGCTTAGGTTTCAGTTATACAATGATCAAGTACCCATCCCTCCACCAGTGCCCATCCTCGACCACTACGGGTCCCAGCATCCCTCCCACCCCCCATCCCCCCCATCCCACCCTGCCTCTGTGCCAGGGCATTCCCCCTTGTTCTCTCTCTCTTCTTTTGGAGGACTCAGCATTTTAAAGTCATGTAAAAGACGGTGTATATTGATCTTAATGAATATTGAGTATATAGACAATGACAATTATTGGTATGGGATGCCTTAAAGGGGGATAGTTTTCATTTATTTCTCCTGACAGTGTACACACCAAATAGTAGGAGTGAAAATTGTGGCATTGAAAATGTTTTAAATTGTGTTCTTTGGAATCTGTAACAAATTCTAGGAAGTCAGATTTCTGCATACTGAATTATACAAATCACAGGGAAAAAAAAGTTGCTATTCTTCTACCTTAGAGTTAATGATTAGAGATCATGAAAGGAAAAAATTATCTTCCAGAAAAAACTTTCTTTCAAAAGTTTATTGATGACTTAGTCAGAACCACTCTCGGGAGTTTTTCACCAGGTGAGTCTTCAGTTTCTGTCCTCATGACATCCTGTTGGGATCTCTTGTACCCGCTTCCCCAGAAGGCTTCTCGCACTGGATTGGCTATGCGTTAACTGTTTCAAACCAATAAGGCCTTTTTACTTTTAGAAAAGACAGCTTTTTTTTTTTTTGCTTGGGGCGGGGCAGGTAGGGCAGAGCCTGGCAAGCTCCCTGTGGCACATTCGATATGCCAAAAACAGTAACACATCTCACAATGGAGATGTTACTGGAGCCCACTCAAGGAAATCGATAAACAATGGGAGGACAGTGCTGCAGTGCTTGGGGGGCCACACTCGGCAGTTCTCAGGAGTTACTTCTGGCTCTAGTGAGGCGTAACTCCTGGCAGGATCAGGGGACCATATGGAATGCTGGGGATCGTACCCTGGTCAGCCGTGTGTTGCTCCTGCCCCAATAGACAGCTGTTTTTGAAATGCTATTCTTCAGCATCTCAGACTCCCGACGCGGGTTCCCTTAGGAGCTGCGCCTAATAGTTTGGCCCCTGTGTGGAATTTAGTGTAGGTATAGACTGTTTGGCTAGATTCAGTTCTCTTTTTCCTTTTAAAATAAGGCTGGTAATGTGGATGTAACAACAGGCCTGTTAACCTTTTGTATTGTTGTGGTTTTGTAAAGGATTCTCGGGCCAAGGTTACATCTTCCTTTCTCGAAAATGATTAGAGTTAGGAGAAGAAAATGATCAGAAATACAGTCGTCAACAGAACACTTTGTTCTGTATCTTCCTCCTATCTTCCTTCTTTTTGAGGGGTTCCTACTTTCTCCTACTTCCAAGGAGAAAAACACCACACAGGAATTATCTGCCAACGCAAACCAAGCTTGTTATTTACTGTCTGTGACTAAGCCCAGTTCTGCTTCCTGCTACCTCCTGTCAGGAACCTTGACTGTTCCCCCCATTCCACAGCTTATTCTTGCTTCTTACTATGTTGATGCTTTAGTGCTCTTTTCTTCTTTTTTTCCTCCCTCCCTCCTTTCCTTCCTTCCTTCCTTCCTTCCTTCCTTCCTTCCTTCCTCCTTTTTTCCTCCCTCCCTCCATCCTTCCTCTTCCTTCTTCATTAATTTTATATATTTTCCTTCTGTTTTAATAGTCTCCAACAGAACTTCTGGAGAAAAGCATCAACTTCTAGTTCAATCCCTCAGCCTATTGAGCCTGTTGTAACTGGTGCAGAACCGAAACACAGTTCTATAGCTCTGCATTCTCTAACATCTGACATGATTGAAGCTAAATAAACATTTACTGACAGTTGTGACCCTGGATTTTTCTTCACTTTTTTGGTATTTTGGGGAGCCATATCAGGGAGTTCTTAGTGACTGCTTCTGAGTCTGTGCTCAGGAGTGGCCTGTGGAAGCCCTGTGAAAACCACACGCAGTCCAGCGATCAACCCAGAGTTAATTCGAGCAAGGGAAGAACCTTACCTCCTGTACTATTTCTCCAGCCCTTTGATTCACATTTTTAAATTATTGATTGCCTGATCCTAGTGCCTCTGTGACTGTTTCTACTTCATAATGGGTGTGTGTGTGTCTGTCTGTCAGTCTGTGTGTGTGCAAATTGTTGAAAATCTATTATTTCACAGAAGGCATGATATGAATATGCATGACACCGTGCAAATGTAGTTCTAAGTGTTTCCTTTATTCTAACCATCGAGGTGGAGAATCAATGATAACAAATTAGCAGTGGTAAGGCAGTTTGGTACGGACATAGACTGCTGTGTGAAACAGCTTCTTTTCTTCTGAGCAGATTAAAGAATGTAGCGATGAACCTGTTGGAAAAGGTTACTTGGTTTCCTGCCTGGTGGATCACCGAGGCAACATCACTGAGTACCAGTGTCACCAGTACATTACCAAGATGACGGCCATCATTTTCAGCGATTACCGTCTCATCTGTGGCTTTATGGATAATTGCAAAAATGACATCAACATTCTGAAGTGTGGCAGCATTCGGCTGGGAGAAAAGGTAACTACTCACTAGCGGAGCTCACCAAAGGGATTTTATGCAGTTGCGTGAAATCTTTGTATAACTGGTGCTGGGAAAATTGGGAACTAGAAGGGACCTTAAAGGTGAAGTCTCAACTGTCCTGATCTTGTGAATGCGTTCAGTTTGTCCCTTAAAAAAAATTATCTGCCGTATGGAAAACTAGTATTGTTATCTTCAAAGATAACACTTTAGACCACTTGCTGGTTATTGATACTGTTCCTCTGGCATTATCATGTTTTTTTTTTTTAGAACAGTAATTAGATTAGTAGAGACTTTAGTTGTTTAGTTGTTTAGTTTTCTATGAATACAGCTCTCACAGATTTTTTTAATGTAAGTATATCAGCATAAAGAGTTATTTAGATATTAAAAGTATTTAGGATGACTTGTGAGAAGGTAGTCTATAATTATGATACATTGTTATCTTCATCGCAGAAGAATTAGTTTTAGTAACGATGGAAAAGAAAATAACTTATTAACTAGTTTCTTCCTCATAATTATAGCTTGTCCTTGTTTGGGTGGGGTGAGGGGGGCTCTCAGGAATTCTAGGGTTCCTAGTTCTGCACTCAAGAATAGCTCCTGGGGGCTGGAGCAATAGCACAGCGGGTAGGGCGTTTGCCTTGCATGCGGCTGACCCGGTTCAATTCAATTCCCGGTTCAATTCCCAGTATCCCATATGCTTGAGCACTGCCAGGGGTAATTCCTGAGCGCAGAGGTAGGAGTAACCCCTGTGCATCACCAAATGTGACCCAAGAAGAAAAAAGAAAAAAAAAAGCTCCTGGAGGGCTCAGGGACCATATGGGATGCCAGGGATCAAACTGGGGTCAGCTGTGTACAAGGCAAAAACCCAACCTACTATACATCAATCCAGTCCCTAAGCTTGTCTCATCTTTGTCATTGTCCAGAGACAATGGAGAGATTTAGGAAAATCTCTCTCTCTCTCTCTCTCTCTCTCTCTCTCTCTCTCTCTCTTTTCCCCCTCCTCCCCCCTTCCCTTTCTTCCTCTCTCCTCCCCTTCCCTCCTTTTTTTTTTTTTCTTAGTGAAAAGAAAATAAATTAAACTCTGGAGAAGTCCATAGGCACTGGCAGGAGAAGCCATCTGAGACCAAGGGCCCTGTTCACTGACCTCTGCTGGGCTCTGACAGAGGGAGCGCCCTGAGTCCCGCAGCCCTGGCTCTTCTCTGCCCTGTGGTGCGCAGGCTTCCCTCGCTGACTGGACTGCCGCCACAGTTCAGATGAGAGCGTTGGTGCTTCCTGTTGTGTGCTGGTCAGCACTGCCCTCTCCTCAGACCAGTCAGGGCATCTCTTGGCATCAAACTTTCAGGCGGTTTCAAAACAAAAATAGTTTTCATAATTAAAGCAGGTTTGTCTGTTTGTTTTTTCCCCCTTCCCAGCCAATTCTAGAAGGTACCAAAGTAATTAAGTCACCTGAGTCACCCTGGTAATTCAGGAAACTCCTCAGACTTAATTTTAGAGTGTTTGATTCAATTCCATGCCAACTCTACTTTTTCGATACCTTCCTGGAAGTCTTCTGGGCGTCCTTTCCTCCGTCAGTGGTGGCACTTCCGTACTGTGACCAAGGGGCCCCCACCGGAGTGGACTTTCCACTTCACCTCTTTGTAGTAGTTCTTCCCTGGTGACTGCTTAAAAGTCGCTACCCCGCCTCCCACCCACAGCCCAAGTGGTCATTGGAAAACCTCCTTTCCCAGCAGTGACTGAAAGGGCTGCAGAAAATAGCAGTGGTCGAGTCCAGCCGCGTGACAGTAGGACAGTTTTATCAACGCTTAAAATAGCAAAAACTTCCTGCCAGCCATCATAGGTACATTTTTGTCACTTTTATCTTTTGCTGCACATCCCTTTTAGGATCGGTGATCTCAGCGCCACCCCAGCATCAAGGCTTTTCAGGGTTCTAGAAACCGTGAGATGGACTTATCCTGCTTTTCTAAAAAAAAGCCCGTTCCTTCCCAGAGTCCATTGTGGGGCTTGTCCTCAGCCTGCCTTGCCCTTTCTGACCACAGAAGGGAACGGCTCGTCAAATCGATGCCATCGAGACAGGCTTTGAACTAACTTCCTCCAAAGAGCAAAGCAGGGAGCTCATGGCTAATCTGTACCCTGCCTCCTGTGAATCTAGAACTGTCATTGCAAAACAATAAACACGTTTTTCCCAGGGGGAGGGTGCGGGGGGGTGGTACACACGATGTGTTGCTGAGGATCAAGCCTGGGTGGGTCGTGTGCAAGGCAGGTACTTACCTGCCAAACTGTCCATCTGCCCCAATTATATTTTTTCCCCAAATAGTAATACTTATTTATTTTAGAACTGTTAATAAGAACTTTAGAATTTTCTTTTCCCTTTTTGTTTTGTTTTTTTTTGGGGGGGGGTCACACCTGGCAATGCTCAGGGGTTACTCCTGGCTCTGCACTCAGGAATTACTCCTGGTGGTGCTCAGGGGACCATATAGGATGCTGGGAATCGAACCCGGGTCAGCCGCGTGCAAGGCAAATGCCCTACCCACTGTGCTGTCGCACTAGCCCTAGAATTTTCTAAATAAATATTGTTAAAATCTCAGATCTCCAGAAGTACAGAGTATATTATTTATATCCTCTGAAAAGATAAAAGTATGAGCCCTCCCATGTAGGAATTTTGAGTATGTAGTAGGATATTATTACTACTTTCACACTTTTCATCCAATAGTTAAATTATTGTATCTCTTCTTTCTCCCCTCCCCCCACTTTTTTTGGGTCACACCCGGCGATGCTTAGGGGTTACTCCTGGCTCATGCACTTAGGAATCACTCCTGGCGGTGCTCAGGGGACTATATGGGATGCTGGGAATCGAACCTGTATCGGCCATCTTGGCTGCGTGCAAGGCAAACACCCTACCCGCTGTACTATCTCTCCAGCCCCCCCCCCCCTTTTTTTATTTTGGTTTTTGGAAACACCTGTGGTACTCTGGCTTACTCTGTGCTCTGCACTCGGGGATCAGTCCTGGCGAGGCTCAGGTGACTCTAATGGGGTGCCGGTGATGGAAACTGTGTTGGCAAGTCAACTCTGCTGTTGCTCTGGCCCCTCATTTCTTGCTTTTAATCAATGACTTTAATTTAGTTTTTTTTTTCTCTACATCTAGTGGTGTCACAGGCAACACCAAAAATATTGAAATGGAGACTGGATTATATGAATAGAGAATGGAGATGAAAATTGAGTTCTTGCCTACTTTTTTGAGATGGTGTTATCTGTCTCAGGTCTTTTTTTTTTTTAATAAGAGTAAAGTATATAGAAAATTAAAACATTAGCTCTTTCGGGGGTAGGGGACCCATACCTGAGAGTGCTCAGGACATACTCCTGGTTCTGTGCTCAGAGATCATTCTTGGAGGGCTGGGGGACCATATGAGCCTGACCGGAGTAATTCCTGAGTGCAGGGCCCAGAGTAACCCCTGAGCACCACTGGGTGTGGCCCAGAAACAAAATAAAAGACTGATTCTAATGGAACTTTTATGTTAGTATTTTCACTTTTTTTTTTGTATTATTAAAACCTCATTGCTAGCAACCATCTATGCAAGTTATGGGTTACTAAAATTTGGTATAGGACATTTTTTTATTGTGAAATCATGTTACTGACCATATGTTTCTGTCTAAATCTTCATTATCATAGATTTGCTTTTCTTTTTCAAAAATGTTTTGGGTTACACCCAACTATGCTCAGGAGTTTAATCCTGGCTCTGGTCTTAGGAATTACTCAATTACTCCTGGCGGTGTTCAGGGGAACCATATGGAACACTCAGGATCGAACCCAGGTGGGCTCTGTGTAAGACAAGCACCCTACCCACTGTACTGTTTATCCAGTTCTAGATTTGCTTTTGTTTAAGTAGATATGGGTAGGTCTCATCTGAGTAGGCCAGAGGCAGACAAACTTGTGTGCTGCTATTAAATTATTGAAGTGGTGACCGGAGGGGAGTTTTGTGGATTCTTTAGAACGACTCCAAAGCCCCTTTTGCTCATCAGAGGTTTCTAAACTCTGTAGAGCCGTATTGCTCATGGTTATGTACAAATGGCGGTCACAAAGGCGTGAGAAGATCTTTTTGGAAACTGTTAAGTTTGTTAAAAGGCTGTGAGCCCTTCTTAGGTGGAATGTACAAAAGGCACAAATTTTAGGTGTTTCATAGAATCCTAAGGTGTTAAAAAATACATGAGGGTGGTTAGCATGTCAGTAAGCATCTAAACACGTTTATACAAAAGCAAGCAATGTTTATTTGAAACTCGTTTCTGGTTGCTATATGGATTTGTTTCGGAGGAGTTGGGGGAGTGGGACTGAGCCATACCCACTGACGCTCAGAGGTTACTCCTGGCTCTGCACTCAGAAATTACTCCGAGTCATCTCATCAAGCTCAGGGGACCATCTGGGATGCCGCGGATGGACCCCGGTCCGCCTGCCTGCAGGGCAAGCACCCTCCCCACTGTACTAGCTCTTGGCCCCATGCAGCATGGATTTCAAAGCACTTGTGTTCTTGGTGTTTTAGGATGCACATTCGCAGGGTGAGGTGGTCTCCTGCCTGGAGAAAGGCCTGGTCAAGGAGGCGGAAGAAAGAGACCCCAAGATTCAGGTCTCTGAGCTCTGCAAGAAAGCCATCCTGCGGGTAGCCGAGCTGTCCTCGGACGACTTCCATTTAGACCGGCATTTATACTTTGCTTGCAGAGATGATCGAGAGCGCTTCTGTGAAAATGTGAGTCAGCTCGGAGGCTGTTTTCTTCTCTTTCTTTTCTCTTAAAAATATTTTTAATAGTTTATTCCAAACTGAAAGAAGCCAACGTAATCCCTCACATGTAGAAAAGCTACTGAAATAGAAGGTGGAGCTGGGCCTGGGCTAGCGAAGTGGTAGGGAGTGCCCAGCCCGGGTGATTCAGCATCCAGCTAGCAGTTGGCTTCCGACAATCTCCACACACTGTTTTTTGCTTCATCTTCCTTTTCCATGTCATTCTTAGAAACCCACTTTCATCCGTAGGATTCATTTTACCAGGGAATCCCATTTGCATTTATTCCGCGAGTGAAACTTAACTATATTACTCATTTCTATGTTTTTAGCTGAGATGAAGAAAATAACAGGCTTCTGTTTAAGAATCAGTCCTTGAAAATAAATAAAATCAATCCTGGACTACTACTACCAGCAGATCCTTGGAAACAGTTTTCTAAGCCTGCAAACGGAATCTTATCTGAGCTTGCCACAGTGGGAAGGATGGATTGATGCTCCCACACTGTGGGAACTGTTTCCAGTTTGCAGCTTTAACCATTGCAGTTTGTAAGGGTTATACCGAGACTTGCAGAAAGTTCTAAGAAGGAGACACACTGACATATCCCTGAGTTCCAAGAGAAATGGCCTTGAAACAGTGACAATAGCAAGAAATCTCAAGGGACGCTTTTTCATTTTTACTGCAGGGCATTATTTTCTTACAAACTAATGAATGGATGAGTCAATTATTCAAAAGTACACACCAGTATAGTCACAGAAAAGTTCTCTGCATGATGGTGGCTGGTGCCTGGTGTAGCTGTTCAGTTTGTCATCTTTGTCACGCTGTCTGTGTTCTACCTTACAGACACAAGCTGGTGAAGGCAGAGTCTATAAGTGCCTGTTTAATCATAAATTTGAAGAATCCATGAGTGAAAAAGTAAGTATTACTGTGAAGCGAATCAGTATTTTATTTCCAAAGACTTTCTCAAACTCTTCAAGCAGTATTCTTATAGATTTATTCTAAATATAAAGAACTAGTAAAACTTAACTTTCCAGAGGTGAAATTTGGCTTTTAGTAGGGAGTCAAAGATATTTTGCTTAAAAGGGAAATGAAGCTGTTTTTGTTTTGGGGCCATTGGAGTTCAGGGTCTTGTGCTCCTGGCTCTGTGCTCGGGAATCATTCCTGGCATGCTCGGGGGACCAGTGAGGTGCTGGGGATCCCGTCCTGGTCAGCTGCATCAAAGCGAGCACCCTCCCCACTCTGCTATCATTCTATCCCGGAAAATTAAAGCTTTCGTTGTGGTACCTAGATAGTGCAGAGCTAATTGGGATTCAATTTGGGTAGCAAAATTGAAGTTTTTTGGTTTTCGGTTGAAGTGAAGCTAGATAGTTTCATTGAATGAAACTTGCTTAGAAAACTGTGAGGGGAAAGGCCACAGCGAGAGTACAGCGGCGGGGGCACTTGCCTCGCATGGGTTGACCCGGGTTCCATCCCCGGCACCCCATATGGTTCCTCAAGCACCGTCAGGAGTTATTCCTGAGTGCAGAGCCAGGAGGAACCCTGAGCATTGCTGGGTGTACCCCCAACCCCACCCTCAAAAAAAGAATGAGAAAGATGTGAGAGGAAAGAAAGAGGGGAAATATATTCAAGAGAGAAATAAGCCAGCAAAGAAACAGACAAGCAAGTGAGATGTGTGTTTGGGCTTGAATGGTGAGCCTTGAATATGAGCTATTGGGACATTTTTACATCATTCTGAAGCCACCAGCCTTTCTACTGAGGAAAGTTAGACTAACCAAACCAGTATGTTTCATAGACAGTTAACTTTTTTTTGGTCTGTTTTTTGCCACATGAGATTATTTTATTAAAAACCTCAAAGGAAGTAGTGTCTAGTGCTCCCTGTCCTCCCTGGGCATAGACGAGTGTGGACATACCCTAGACCATTAATTTTTTTATTTCTTAGCAGCTGTTTCATGAATCTGCCTCACTGCTGATGGTTCTTTGTCTCCGAATAAATACCAATCTTTCATGACTTTCACAAATAATTTTTTTTATTTTCTTCCTGTCATTTACTTTCCTACGTAGTTTAAGGAAAGTTTTTCCTTTAGTTTCTTCTTGTTTTGGTTTTGGAGCCACTCCTGAGGTGCTCAGGGGCCTGTGGCGTGCTGTGGAACGAACCCAGATCTCCTACATGCAAAGCATGTGTTCTAGCCCTTTGAGCTATCTTCTCAGCCCTCGTTTTCATTTCTTTCATTATTGATATTATGGGCTGGAGCAATAGCACAGCGGCAGGGCGTTTGCCTTGCACGTAGCCAACATGGCCGACCCGAGTTCGATTCCTCCGCCCCTCTCGGAGAGCCCGGCAAGATACCGAGAGTATCTTGCCCGCACGGCAAAGCCTGGCAAGCTCCCCATGACGTATTCGATATGCCAGACACAGTAACAACAAAGTCTCCAATGGAGACGTTACTGGGCCCGCTCGAGCAAATCGATGATCAGCGGGAGGGCCTTTTACCTTTTGTGGGAGGGCAATCGCCTTGCCAGGGGTCGCATCCCATATGGTCTCTGAGCACCCAGCGAGTACCGCCAGGAGGCCTCACGCATAACAGGAATATGTTCTACCTGTGAGACACACAGCCAGAAATCTTGCCCACTGCTAGAGCTCAGTTCTAATTCATTGGGGTAGTCGACCATAGTTGACCTGGTCGTGGGACTCTACTTGGATTGGGTACATGGGTGCATTGAGCCCCCACAGCTGTCCCTCTCATGGCTCTTGTTTTCCTCTTCTTTCAGTGTCGAGAAGCACTGACAACCCGACAGAAGCTGATTGCCCAGGACTATAAAGTCAGCTACTCACTGGCCAAATCCTGTAAGAGTGACTTGAAGAAGTACCGGTGCAATGTGGAAAACCTTCCTCGTTCCCGGGAAGCCAGGCTCTCCTACCTGCTCATGTGTCTGGAGTCAGCTGTGCATCGAGGTACGAGTTTGTTTTTCTCTCTCCTCTCTTCCCTTTTGGATCTCAGGCCTTTTAACCCTCCCTGTCGGGCTCCTCCCGTGTTTGCGCTTTCCGAGCACACCTGTACCTGGGACCTGAGCCTCCGGCACGGACTCCCAGTAGAAGGCTCATTCTAGCCCCACACGACCTGGCGACCCACCTTTACTTACTTTCCTTAATTTCTTCAGAGCTCATTTTTCTCACTTATAAAACAAAAATAATATTACCTTGTGCTGAGAATTTTTTGTGACAGTAGGATGAGGTGATTTGCCTTGTAACAGCCAACTTCTTTTAATTGTGGTGGGATTAAGAAATTCACTAGGGGGAATGGAGAGATAGCACAGCAGGTAGGGCGTTTGCCTTGCACACAGCTGACCCGGTTTTGATTCCCAGTATTCCATATGGTCGCCCGAGCACCACCAGGAGTGATTCCTGAGTGCAGAGCCAGGAGTAACTCCTGAGCATTCCCGGGTGTGACCCAAAAAGGAAAAGAAAGAAAGAAAAAATAAAGAAATTCATTGGAGTCCAGAGAGATAGTACAGTGGGCAGGCGCTTGCCTTGTACACAGCATACCCAAGTTTGATCTCCAGCACTCTTTATGGTCCCCTGAGCATTGCCGGGAATGATACCTGACTACCTGAAGAAGAAGAAGAAGAAATGAAACGGGGTACTGGAGAAGTAGTATTTTTAAGTGTACATTAATAAGCAAACCAGGAAACCCTCCAAGAGTAAATGGCCAAAGGATATGAGCAGAGGTTTTAGGAAAGTTATTCAGATGGTTAATGTTAGACCAACTGACAATTTAAGGAACTAAAGCTATCATGCACTGTGACAGGAATTTAAAACAGCACAACCACTTCAGAAAATACCTCACTCATTTCTGAAAATGTTAAATATACACCTAAAATATGACCTATTCTTATAATTCCTAGGTTACTTAAGGCTCATAAAAACATATGTTCATACAATTCTTATACCTGAATAATAATAAGAGCTTTATTTGTAATAGCTTCTCACTAGAATAGCTCCATCAGTAGCTGAAGGGTCTACATTGAAGAATCGTTATAACTCAACAATGGAAAGAAATGAGCTCTTGAAGCATGGGTGAATTTCAGAATAATTATGCTAAATAAAAGAATTCAAATGAAAGAGCCCTGCACTGTATAATTCCATATATAACCTTGGAAAAAATGTAGAACTAGTAAACTGATCTATAGTCACAGAAACCATGTCACTAGTTGCCTAGAGATGGGGTTGGTGGGCTGGATTCTAAAGTAAAGGGTTGTGGGGCTGGAGCAACAGCACAGCGGGTAGGCGTTTGCCTTGCACGCGGCCAACCCGGTTCGATTCCCAGCATCCCATATGATGGTCCCCTGAGTGCTGCCAAGGGTAATTCCTGAGTGCAGAGCCAGGAGTAATCCCTGTGCATCTCCAGGTATGACCCAAAAAGCCAAAAAAAAAAATTAAAGGGTTGTGAAGGACTAGAGGGTCGGGCATTGGGTAGGGCACTTCCCTTTCATGCTCCGGGCTCGGGTTTGAGACCCAACTTCTCATAGGTCCCCCAAGCATCACCAGGAGAGACTCCTGAGTAGAGAGTCAGGAGTTAGCCTTGAGCATCACCAGGTATGGCCCAGAAACCAAAATAGTAATACTTTTAAAAATAATAGGGGACTGGAGCAATGGCACAGCAGGTTGGGCGTTTGCCTTGCATGTGGCCCACCCTGGTTTGATTCCCAGTATCCCATATGGTCCCCCAAACACTGCCAGGAGTAATTTCTGAGTGCAGAGCAAGAGTAACCCCTGTGCATTGCTGGGTGTGACCCCAAGAAAAGGCTATAAGTAAATAAATATAAAATAAATAAATAAATAGAGTAAAAGGACGTAAACTTGACATACATGTTCAGTGTCCTGATTGTACTTAGTTTTCTCTGATGAAAACTCATCAAAGAATATGCTTTAAGTATTTATGGTTTACCATATTTCATTATACCTCAGTAAAGCTGTTCTGATTTCTTTAAAATAATTTTTCCCAGTTGGCTGGCTTTTACAGCTGAAAGAAGGTAGGGGAGCAGTAGTGACTGTTTGAGAGGTCCAGTAGTCCTCTCTTCATTTGGGGTGTCATTTACACGTGGTCAGCCACAGTTCAGACGTTAGGTACAGTAAGATATTTTGAGAGACCACATTCACATAAATTTCATTATAACACATTGTTTTATGTTATTGCTATTGATCTTTCAATGTACTTCATCGTGGGTGCCAGCGAGATGTCTTGACATGCTGGAGCATATACTTGGCACTCAGAGGTCCCCCGAGCACTACTAGGTGTGCCATACCAACAGGAAAGTATCCTGAGTATGGGTGTGTAGGAAAAGACAGTTTCTATGGGTTTGGTTTCATATCAGGCTTTAGGCATCCGGGGGGATTGGAACGTGCCCTTTGCGGATAAGGGAGAGCTGCTGAGTGTTTTCCACAGGCTTTACTGTGCAGGGATCATTCTGACTTGCATTTTTACTTTTACCCCATTGATTATTGATAGGACTTCCATCAGTGAGTAATTAATTGCACTATTGATTCATTTATACAAAATCGATGTAATAGAACCACCTACCCCAGTCTGCAGAGTTTCTACAAGGTTCTGGATTTTTCTACATTCTGTTATGTCGGTGTGTGGTCCCATCCAAACCTGCTGTTCACCCCCTGTATGTCGTGGCTTCTCCTGATTTAGGGCGCCAGGTGAGCAGTGAGTGCCAGGGGGAGATGTTGGATTACCGGCGCATGCTCATGGAGGACTTTTCCCTGAGCCCTGAGATCATCCTGAGCTGCCGGGCGGAGATTGAACACCACTGCTCCGGATTACATCGGAAAGGCCGCACCCTGCACTGTCTGATGAAAGTGGTTCGCGGAGAGAAGGGGAACCTGGGAATCAACTGCCAACAGGCGGTAAGGGAAGCGTGCCTGCTGCCCCCTTAAATGCCACACGCCTCTGTCGGACAGAGAAACTCTCCAAAGCTCTTTCAGTTTATTTCATCCTTTCATTGGGTCAGATTTGCTGACTTTAAACTCTTCTGAAACTATAGAAATAAAAACTGAATATTCATTTAATGTTCCATCAGTCATATAAAAAATTAAATTTTAGAATGTTGATATTGAGTGCAATGTTATCTCAGCTTCTGCTCGCTGTCACCCAGGAAATATGTAGACAGAAATTTATGCATTCCATGGACAGAAGGTAGACGAACGTCCCTTCTTAGCCACAGTACCAAGCCTAGCTAGGACGGCTTCCAGAACTGACCATGGTCTGAGCTGGTGGCTTAGTGGCCATACTAGGGACACCACAGAGTGGTGAAAGGCAGGTGCTGGGTCACAGGCCAAGAAGGAGTCAAGCCTCCTATGTTTGCACTTCATCCATTTAAAAAGAAAATAATGTATTTCATCCTTAATGTAGCATGGAGTAGGGGTTGGAAATACAGTTGGGAGTAATCCTTTCTTTTTTTGATTTTGAGCCACTAGTGGTACTAAGGGATCACTCTTGATAGGGCTTGGCAGATCTTGTGGGTGCCAGGAAGGTTGGCCACGTGCAAGGTAGTGCACACCCCCTCGCCCGCTGCACTATGACTCAGGGTCCCCATTTTTCTTTTCCTTAAGGGTGTACTTGTACTAAGATGAACAAAGAAAAGAAGTTGGTTTGACTTTATTTTGAGACATCAGGTTTATCTCCAGGGCTTTGAAAAACGTATCTTGCTGAAAGAGTTAATGATCAACCTGAAAGATAAATAAGTGCAACCCACTTCATCTTTTCCAGCCAGAAATTAGGTGTTTTCCAACACAGATGAGCCTAAAAGAGTAAAGTTTGTGATTTTACCCGCCTTAAACTCAGCCAAGGAGTAAAGAAACACTTTGTCTCTTATATTTATGGGTGGGTTTTATCCATTGTTCACAGAAATTTGAGGCATGAATGATCCAAAAAGAGTTTATAGTTTCCTGAATCATAAAAGCATTGGCTTTCTTTATGGCTGAGAAAGTCCAGTCCCAGTTTCTCCACAACCAAACATGACTGCCCAGCTTATCGTCCAGTCATTTCTCGGATGCATTTTTCTAAGCAGTCGGGCTGCACCAGATGTCTAACCATGGAGCCACCCAGGTTCCTTCACATTATTTCCCACATCGTTCGCGGAGTCCGAGTGGTCGTGATCCCGAAAGCCATTTGCCTGCTGGAGATTATGGGGCATTGATATTTTTCCCTTTCAGCAGTCACAGTCTGGTATATCCATTCTGAAGTCTCCCGTTTGCCTGTCAGTCATAGACTTTTAACTGATAAATTTCTTGCAGAGACTTTCAGACTCCTAGGCTGGCTCATCTCAGAAGAAGCTGTTAATATTTTAATCTTTGTCAGCAGTAAAATTAGTTGTTGTTTGACCGTGATCTTCCTACCAACCAACCGTCACATTTTCTACCTTTTCCGTAAACTGCCCAAGAATTAGTGTAAATAACTTTCATTACAAAATAATGAAAATTGTTAGTATTTCTTTGATCATGATTATTGACTTATGTTAGGATGGTGAGAACTGAGGGTTTCCTTTTGCTTTATGCTCTGTGATCAATAGTGATGAGCTGGTGCTATTCTAGCCTTCCCTGTACAATTGCAGGTTAGATGTGTGAGGATCAGAGATGGTCAGTGCCTACAGGCTAACTGCATGACACAGGAAGGCCTCCAGGAAAATGGAACCCAGACCAGTGAGAATTGTAGTCTTCAGATTTGCTTTCTGCTAGTTGAGATTCCCACCCCAAACACCATCTGCTCCCCATCTGTAGCAGTAACACTATTTACATCTGTAAAATGCTTCATGGTTTACACGGCCTTCTTCGATACATGATTGTCTCTCATGATTGTCTCTCATAATTTTCATCAGTTAAAGAAACTAGAATTTTGGGCCAGGAGATAGCATAGTGGGGAAGGCATTTGCCTTGCACACAGCTGACCTGGATTTGATCCCAATACTACATATGGTCCCATGAGCCCTGAGCACAGAGCCAGGAGTAAGCCCTGGTCACAGCCAGGGGTGGGAGAGGGAGGAAGAAGAATGGAGGAGTGGGGGACTGGAACGTAGAAGGTCTTACAGATCTGAATTAATAGTTCTGATTGCAGATTCTGATAGAGTCAGAACTATTAATAGAACTCTGGTCTTCTGATCCTTAATTTAAAGCTTTTTCTTGGTGCCCCAAATGACTTTTTCTTCTGAAGAATATATTCTCAGGGGCCAGAGGGGCCTCCAACCACCTCCAAGAGTGATCCCTGAGTGCAGAGCTAGGCTCAAAAAGCAGGAACACAAACTTTTTTTGCAGGAACCCAGGTTTTGTTCCCCGGCACTGCATGGCTCCCTCAGCACTGCCGGGAGTAGCCCCAAAATCAGAATAGGAGTAACAGTGATACATTCTCAGTTTCAGTTCTACAGTGACAACTTGTCGATTTTTTTTCTTCTTCATTGTTTATTTTTGCTGGAATTTTTGAGTGACAAGTATTTTTATACTCATAACAAAATCTCTTGTTTGTATACAAGATGGTGGAGGAAGAGCAGAAAATTATAAGTAGTATAATATTCAAGTTTTTTGTAATTACTATTTCTTGCAAGTGAAAGGATACCACATCTGTTTTAAGTAAAACAGTATGTTTTATTGCCAGTGTCTTTACAACAAGTTCAAATTTAGAGTCCTTTAACCAAATTTGGTCTCTAACTAGATGTCTTCATATTTTTTTTTAACTGCTATATTTGATTTTTTGGGTTTTGGACCACACCCATCATACTCAGGGGTACTTCCGGCTCAGGCCTGAGAGTTGCTCCTGGCAGTGCTCAGAGGACAATGTGGAAGCAGGAATCAGAGTTGTTCCCCCTGCATACAAAGCATGTGCTCCATCCTGTTGAGTTGTCCCTCTAGCCCCGGGGGAGAGCCTTACACGTGTTCTTCATCTTTCAGTTTTGGTTCCAACCAAAACTGAGTGTCAGATTTAGTTATTTGATTGCCAAATAATAAATGTGAGGAAAGAGGCAGACATGATATTGAAAAGATACTTTATTTTGCAAGCATCTGGTCATGGGTCAGATAGGTTGGCATGAAATGATATCAGCAGGTGGAGAACTCATTGGAAAGCGCTTGGCAAGATTTTTTTGAAGTTTGGCCAGTGATCACTGTAATACCTTGTTTAGAATACATTGTGATAAGCCAAACTGATAACTGAGTACATAAAAAGATGACATTCTCCTTTCCTGTGTGTAAATGACTTTCTTCTTAATTTTTTTTTTTAACCCAGCTTCAAACGCTGATTCAGGAGACTGACCCGGGTGCCGATTACCGCATTGACAGAGCTTTGAACGAAGCCTGCGAGTCTGTGATTCAGACAGCCTGCAAACACATACGCTCAGGAGACCCAATGTAAGTTCTTATTTGAAGTGACTGTTCCACACTGTATTTCATTCGGCAGTGCAGCAAAGGGCACACCCTTTCAAATGATTTTTAGACGATTCAACATCTTAACTGAAATCTTGCTAAGTAGGAAGAGGCATTAACTTTTGCCAAGGCCAGTCATAAAATGTAAACTTTGGTTCTGTCTCATCTCTGATGTAGAAACATCTAGTTCAGCATTGTACCAATGTCTATTAATAATAATTGAACATGTGCAAGCCTATATATTTGTCACTGAATAATTCCATTTAATACTTAAGAGTTGAATCACTCTGGATAAAGTAACACGTACTGTGTCTCTGTACGTTTCCTTCTATTTATTGATTTATACATTGTCTATTTGATCATCATTGGAAAGGAATTCATTTTTGTTTTGGCCCCATCGTCAGTGATGCTCAGGGGTTACTTCTGGTTCTGCACTCAGGAATCACTCCCGGTGGTCCTCAGGGATACCAGGGATTGAACCTGGATCGGCAAATGCCCTCCCCACTGTCCTATCACTCCAAAAGTAATTCATTATAGTTGAAGTGTGGTGTGCAGCAGTTTTATTCCATGTGATTTAAACAGCTCATAAAACCAAGTTGCATGTCAAAGCAAATTTCCTATGCTGCAAATATCTTCATAGCCTACAGCTGGCAGAACCCAACAATAAAATGAATGCAGACCATGTTTATCATCATTCTGCTGTGAATACACTACTAAATTCGTGTTATGGTAGAGGATTTTAAAAAGCTACTGTTCCTTAAAGCTTTGTGTGGTTGGAGGACACAAAAAAGCACTCTTCAGACTAATATTATGAGCCTAAAGAAATAGTACAGCAGGCAGGATGCTTGCCTCGTACCCGGTCGACTCGTGTCCAATCCCCAGCATCCCATATGGTCTCTCAAGCAGTGCCAAAAACAACCCTGCATTGGCCCTGAAGGGACAAAAAAGATGAAGGAGTGAGGGACCTGCTACAGGTTAAAATAGGTTTAGGGTTCCATTTTTTAAAGGATTGGTAGTCTTTCCTGGGTCCCGGTTTGAGCAAAGATGGGGGGGAAATGATATAATTGGAAAAAATCAATAGGATATTATTTGATAACTTTTTTAAATTAATTGCCTTTGGTGGGTATGTTTTCACATTATAGAGAGATTAGCTGAGGTTATAGGTAAAATGATAAGCTTTATGGGGTTTGTATCAAAGCATCAGCAAAGGGGTATAGAGTTAAACAAATTTTGAGACCAGAGAGATGGCACAGAGGCTAAGACATTTGCCTTACACAGGGCCAACCTGGGTTTGATGCTGGCATCCCGTGTGGTCCCTGAGAACTGCACAGACTAATTCCTGAGTGCAGAGACAGGAATAAGCCCTGAGCATCGCTGGTGTGGCTCAAAAACAAAACAAATTCGGTGGTGGGCCTAGCTGTGGGAAGAAGTGGTGGGTATGGTATGATTCTCTTTCACATGTGTCAGAACATTTCCGTAATGAACAGTTAAAGCTAAGGCAGCTGCAGAGAGAATTTGTATAAGCTGAGACCTCCTCGCTAAGTGGCTCTGGAGCGATAGAGGCATAATCACTCCTGGCTTGAGTTCATTTGAATGATTCTCAGCAAAGTAAACCCCTAATTAGCCTGGGGAAATGGCTCAAAGGCTTTTCCGAAGGGCCGAGAAAATACAGATGCGAGAGTCCTGAGCCCACAGTCCAGAAGTCTTGTTTCAATGGCGCCTGTTTTCTTGCCAGGATCCTCTCCTGCCTGATGGAGCATTTATACACAGAGAAGATGGTGGAGGATTGTGAGCACCGTCTCTTAGAGCTGCAATATTTCATCTCCCGAGATTGGAAGTGAGTGTTCTGAAGCCAAGTCAGGGCAAGCCTCAGCCCCCTGTCCAGGCTAGCCAGTGTCCCTGGTACCCTGAGATAGCCCGTCGGAATTTGGTTTTGTTCAGTTCTGGGAAGATGGACTGCCCGCAGCCCCACCTCTTCTTTCTTGCTTCTAGAAGTGTTTCTAAACAGCCCCCCGCGCATCTGTCCCCCACCCCCTCCCAGGTCCCCACTGGCCTTGAGAGTCAGGGTCACATGTTTCTCTATCTCGAAAGGGCTCAGGCTTGGGGGCCTGGGACAGAAGAAGCCCCCTCAGATGTGTCTCTGGAGATCATGGTGCATTTTCACTTTATTGATTTGCACTTGGTGTGGGAATTTGCTTTTATTTCCTTAACTGTTCTCCATTACCGAATTTATTCTATCTTAGGAGGCTGCTGTCAATAAGAGGCAACTTGGCTCACTTTTCATCCTGTCAGGCCAAAAAGGGTAGAAGGGGTGAAATCAGGAAAAGATCTGTGGGACAGTCAGAATTGCTAGAACTGATGTCCTTTTTGGGGGGGGAGGGGTGGGCGGGGTGGGTGGTTGTGCCATACCCAGAGATGCGCAGGAATCACTCCTGGCAGTGCTCGGGAGACCATCTGGGATGCTGGGGATCGAACCTGCGGCGGCCGCCTGGAAGGCAAGCGCTCTGCCCGCTCTTCTTTTCCCTCCCGGCCTCCCCAGCAGCCAGTACCAGATGGAAACCCTCTGCCCACTTCCCGAGGCCACCGGCCTCTTCAGTCCTTTCTGGTGTGTTGTTCACATTCTTTACCAGGGAGACAGTCCTTGAGGATTACTTGGAAGTGTCGGTGCGCTTTTATTTCTGCTCCTTCAGATTAGCTCAACAAAGAACTGTAGAAATCTTGTTAAGAAGTTTCCTGTGCTCACTCGGTCCCTCTAAACTGAACTAGCATTTTACTACCTTAATCCAAATTGTGCTTTTCCTCTCCTTTAATCCCTTCACCTGTGACTACCCCCACCCCCACCCCCCAAAAATGCCTTAGAGGCTTAGATTGCTAAATATGACTCGTTCTCCCTGGCAAAAGCTCTCCCAGGGTTGACGTTATAATGTGAGCAGAATTAAGCAGTCTGTCTTACTTAGAGAAGCAGCAGTAGAAGCGAGGTGCTTAATCCTCTGTCTCCAGATTAAAAGTTAAATTTTATGTGTTTTTAAATGGTGAGTGTAACTAAAAACGTCATTGCCTATTTTTGCAGGAGAGAAAGAAGAGGGACACTTCTGCTAGAAAGGAAGTTGATTTGAATAGATTTTGTTACCTTGTAATTTCCTGATCTTAGTGAATCCAATATCCCCAGGGTTAAATTTCATTCATATGTACAAAAGAAATTGATTTTAAAAGTTGCATATTGCCTGTAATAGCTGCAGCACCTGCTTGCTGATTTCTGCCAGGACATAGCAGAGCCGGTCTGTTGCCTAAAGTGTGCTTGCCTTCACCGTGAACTCCGAATAGAACCTGGGTCCTTTGCATTTTGATCACTTGGAGGTTGGGAATGTAGCCCAAGAGCAGAGCACGTTCTTTTCACACGTGAGGCCTGGGTTCAGTCCTTTATAACACACCAACACCGCTTCTCTCCTCCCCCACCCCCCACCCCCCACCAAAATTATTGACCACTGTTTTCTTGAAGATCAAAATTCTAGAATCTTTTTGCTTGCCCACGGTCCATTTAAACTGAAGTTGACTAAGAGCTGATACAAAGCAAAGCACCTTAAAAGCCTCTAGCATGTTTTGGAAGGGAAGGGATCCTAAGCGTGCTTGCCTTTAACTCTCACCTTACCGCGACCTTTCAGGCTGGACCCTGTCTTATACCGCAAGTGCCAGGGAGATGCATCTCGACTCTGCCACACCCATGGCTGGAATGAAACCAGTGAGCTCATGCCCCCAGGAGCTGTGTTTTCTTGCTTATATCGACATGCCTACCGCACCGAGGAGCAGGGAAGGAGGGTATGCACTCACACCGGCTTCATTTCTTCTTCTCCTCATTTGATTTTTAATAAGTTTGCTATGTATTGTTCTGATTCTGTCAACCTAGGAAACTTATTTTAGCGTCTCTGGCAAGGAGAGCCTGGCTACCCTTCCTCCCTCAGGGGCAGGCCAGCCCCCTTCCCCTGACTGCAGGGATGCAACAGAGTGAAGGGACATTTCCAGAGTTCTCTTTAAATTGCTAAAAGCTGAATTCCCAAGAGACAGTTAAATTGTGCAGCCCTGTCTATTATTTAGCTTTCAAAAAATTCTTCAAGACCAGAGCAATAGTAGAGTGGGTAGGGCACTTGCCTTGCACACAGTAACCTGGGTTCCATCCCTGGCACCCCATAAGGTCCTTGGGGCCCTTCTAGGAGTGCCTTAAGCGCAGAGCCAGGAGTAAGCTCTTCACGCCACCGCATGTGGTCTGTAAATAAGACCAAACAGATCTGTCAGAGGGCTCAGGAAGTAGGTCAGAGACTTGCGCATGTGCTTTGCCTGCTGAAGCCTGGATTGAATCCCCGACACCACCAGGTATTGAATCATAAAATCACAGAGAGTGAAGAGACATTTCCAGACTTCTCTTTCACTGTCACTGTCCTCCTATTGTTCATCAGTTTGCTGCAGCAGGCCCAGTAACATTGTGAAACTAGTTGTTACTGTGTTTGGCATATCGAATACGCCACGGGTAGCTTGCCAGGCTTTGCTGTTCAGGCTAGGTACTCTTGGTAGCTTGCTGGGCTCTTTAAGAGGGGCAGAGGAAACGAACTCGGCTCGACCAGGTCGGCCTCTTGCAAGGCAAACACCCTATCACTGTGCTATCGCTCCAGCCCAGACTTCTCTTTAAATTGCTAAAATCTGAATCGCAGAGAGACAGTTAAATTGTGCCATCCTATCTATAATTTAGCTTCAAAAAATTCTTCAGGCTCAAAGAGATTGTGCAGTGGCTATGGCTCTTGCCAACCAGGTTTGATCCTTCCCATCTCAGAAAACCCTCAAACCCCAGGAGTAATTCCTGAGTGCAAAGCCAGGAAACGACCCCTGAGCACTAGCACTGCTGGGTATGGCCCCAAAACATAAATAAACAAACAAGTCCATTAGACACTCTGAGCCCGGACCCAAGTCTTCAGATTTCTGTTCTCTGTCAGAAGAACCGAAAAGGCCGGGGTGAATGACACTCGGCCGCAGCCCCCAGTTGGAGCAGACATCTCGGCTACCAGTCTCGGTGTTGTTGGTCTTTCCTGATCGCTGCGGCTTCTTGGGACGTGTGTGCGCGCTTGGCTCTTGGGCGACACTGACACGCTGCTTGCTCTGAAAGAATTGAAGCGAAATCCACATCCGATCAGAACCATTTTATTTTCTTGGTTTTTGTGCTACACTCGGCGGTGCCTGGAGATTGCTCTTGGCCCCATGCTCAGGGATACTCCTGGGGTGCCGGTACGAAGTCAGTACAGCCGCACCCACTGTATTCTCTCTCCAGCTCCGGACCATTTTGAGAGAGGAACTCAGTGGCAGCACGTTCCCAATTGTGTGCGGCCACTGTCTTTACTCCCAGAACATCTCTCTGTCTCCAGACAGAACCCCCCACGTCCATTCAGGCTAACTCTCCATCCTCAGCCCCAGCTATGTGGGCTTTTTTTGGGAAGAGAGACTCGCTGTACCTGCAGATGACCGCTTTCTCACAGCCTTTTCGAAAATACTGCTTTTCATCTATTTCTTCCTCTGCTGATTCTCCTCATCAACCAGAGAGTTGTGGGCCTGACCCAATGTGACAGTCATTTTTGCTCCCTGTTTTGAGTCTGATTGAGTTTTGAGTTCAGTTCTCCTGAGTCGGTGTGTGTGTGTGTTCTCCTGAGTTGGAGTGGACGTTCTCTCCTGCTCTCACCGCAGAGTGGGAGGGTCGTTTAGCTCAGCACCGAGCTTACCCGCCTAGAACTCGGCTTTCTTCTGAGGCTACTCTCAGAAAAGGAGGGCACTGTGCAGCACGTAGAAGATGCTTCCTGTGTCGTCTCATCCCTAGAGATACTGGCTAACGAGGCCCCACGAACTCTTCGGTCTTCTGGAAGAGTCTCTTGGTGTAGAGTTTTTCAGTTAACTATGAAGTCATTTGCCGGCTTCCTGGCAGCAGATTTGCTTTCTCCCATGACTCTGGTACTGATTCGGTATCTGCCTGTTGTTCCCCGCACAGCTCTCCCGGGAGTGCAGAGCTGAAGTCCAAAGGATACTGCACCAACGTGCCATGGATGTCAAGCTGGACCCTGCCCTCCAGGATAAGTGCCTGATTGATCTTGGGAAATGGTGCAGTGAGAAAACAGAGACTGGACAGGTAGGAGACCACGTCCTCTATCAGAGACTGTGATTGTAGCAGCAGTGTTCAAGATGAACGCGTGACAGGGATTCCGGCCACCACCAGATTCACCTCTGCTTACTTAGGAGATGACATGATAAATTATTCAAGGTTCTTTCTCTAAAATGGGGGGTAGGAGGGCATTCAAGGTCGTGCTCACAGGACCTTGCAGTGCCTGACTTGAAAGGAGGCCTCTTGAGTACCAAGAGTTCCCTACAGAAAAGTCTTAGGAAGAGTTTCTCTTGTTCTCTGTCTGAGGATAATTGTACTTTGTCCAAGCAGTTGTTTTTATATTATGGTTACTATATTTTGTGAGTGCTGGTTTTCCCTCCGTGTTGCCTTATAGAAAGTCTGTATCCAATTTAAGAAAACCAAAAAAAAAAATACCTGGTTGTAGGCCAGGGAGATAGCTCAGAAGGATGGAGTGAGTGCTTTTCCTGGCCTGATTCCTGGCACTGGGAACCCTGGGAATCACCCTTGAGTGCCTCCGGGTGTGGTTCATCCCCACCCCCAGAAGTATGAGGAACCAAAGTTCTGCCCTGCCTTAGCAAGGTGAGACAGTCCTTGCCCTTAAGGACCCTTTAGATATTCCGCATCTTTAGTAATTGTTAGCACCGTGCAGGTTTTGAATGGGAGGCAAAGATTGCGGGAACGACACGGGTAGTGATGCAGTGGCTGTTGATGGGCTGGTGGGAAGGCCTGGGAGGAGGCCTGGGCTGAGGACATGGCGCCTCAGTCCTCTGGACTTACTGATTCGGCCAGTACTGGTTGGACCGTTTCTGTGGCCATTCTGTCTTCTCTTACCCACTCGGCTTCATCAGGTCATTAAATTTTCCACAGAATCCCTTTGGGGACTCAAGTGAGACTCCAGTGTTCTGTTTCAGAAGTGGTTTTAGAAAGGAAAGAAAGGTAAAACAACTGAAAAAGAGGTAGCCCTGTCGTCAGCGCCACAGCTGCTCTCCTTTGTGTTACCAACGCACGCCAGGGACTGCTCTCTCTCTGCAGGAGCTCGAGTGCCTCCAGGATCACCTCGACGACCTGGCCGTGGAGTGCAGGGACATCGTCGGCAACCTCACCGAGCTCGAGTCCGAGGTAGGCGGGATTAGAGCTCTCCCCCCTCCCTGAGGAAAGACGGCCGCTGCTCTTCACATGTCCTCTTCACGTGTTGTCACGCACCCCTGCTCTCTGCTTAGTCCTGTGAACCTCCGGTTATTTGGTCATGTTGTGTGTTCGGGGAATTCCACTCAAACGGAAGACTGAACATGGGTGTGTATCCTGTTCGTCCCGAAAGAGCAGGCCTTAGGAAGCTCAGGATCGTAGACCTGTATTTGGGAAGGAGACTATTGCCGGGAAGGAGACGCACCTAAAAATGCTTGAACCTTCATGTGGTTTAAACTTGGGTGGCAAAACTCGGCGAAACAGGGACTGCATATTTGTTCATCCTAAGCCTTTTAGAAGTATTTGAATTGTCAAAATTAGCTGTATTACAAAATATTTCTCAGCCAGCCCATTTCCTCACTGTCCCTCCTCGCTTTCTTTCTGGTCGTCGCCTTGTCTCATTTTTCTGTCACTTCCTCCCCAGCCTCGTAGTCTGGGAGCTCGTGCGGATTTCCTGGTGACTCTCAAGAACGGCATCCCCCCCGCTGACGCTGCTCGGGGCTTTCTTGGCTTCAAAGCCTTTCATGTCCTCCCCAAAGGCAGTTCCTGGTTTCTGATTTGAGGACAGCAGTTCGGTTTAGGAGCTTTTAAATTAAGGACAGATGTGGGTTATCCCAGTTTTTATTGTGATCTGCTTAGTCTTTTTGGAAAAACTCCAAAGGCTGTACGTACCGATACGATTATTATTTGTTTTTTCTCCCTAACATTCTTCATTTGGGGGGCAGAAGGGGTTTGCACTCCTGCTCTGTTCAGAGATCACTCCAGGTCTCCTGGTTCTGTGCGGGGAACTATGTGTGGTCCCAGGTATGGAACCAGGCTCAGAGGTGTGCAGGGAAACACCTCCCCCCAGCTCCACCCCCTCTTCCTGGCCATCTTACCAGCCTTCCTTTTGGCTTTGTTTTGGGGGCACCCGGCACTGCTCAGAGCTCATTCCTGACTCTGTGCAGAGACCGTAGAGTGGTGGCGGGTATCAGACCAGGACTGGCCACCTCCTGTTCTTGATTCTGATTCTTGATTCTCATTCATTCAGGCAGAAGGAAAGTTTGTCTCTTGTGAATTTGCCTTCCACAGTGTGGGGGGAGCAGCACTGGGCATCAGGCGTGAACAGGCAGACTCTTTTCCGTGTCCGTTAGGTACTTTGTCCAGCAGACCATTTGGGAAAGAAGTCACCCCTTCACCCACCCTTCTCTGAAGCAGAGTTACTCATGCGTTTCGTATTCTACAGGATATTCAGATAGAAGCCTTACTGATGAGAGCCTGCGAGCCCATCATCCAGAATTTCTGCCACGTAAGTGATGTTTGGAGAAACTGGGATAAAATCAAGCTAACTGAACCCGTCTGGCACAGGCCGCTGTGTGCTGGGCTCGTGGCATACTTCACTCCTGAGTAATGGAAAGTGGATTTTGAGAAGGCATCTTCATGTGGGCAAGGTTGGGTGTCTACTGTGAGAAACCCGTGTGGCTGGTGGCAGGGCTGAGCTGCCCCTTTCAGGAGGGGAGAGGGTGCCCCTTTAGAAGAATTGAGTTGCTCCCTCCTCCCTGCTGAGCCCGCGTGTTCCTGAAGGACCTAACTCATGTCGAACCACTTACGCTGTGGGTGTGAAGTCGCCCAGAAAAGGGCATCATGATTTGAGAGAAGTCAGGATACTGCCAGGATACCTTCCTTGAGAGTCACGTGACAGCTCACTGTGGAAATGATGCCCCAAATAATTATCCCTTCTAATTGGGAGGGGTCAAAAGTTTTGGTTTTGTTTTGTTTTGTTTTTTGCTTTTCGGGTCACACCCGACAATGCACAGGGATTACTCCTGGTTCGTGCACTCAGGAATAACTCCTGGTGGTGCTCGGGGGACCATATGGGATGCTGGGAATCGAACAGTTTTGGTTTTGTTTTGGGGCCACACCCGGTAGTGCTCAGGTCTTACTCCTGACAGGATTTGGGGGACCTTACGGGATGCTGGGGATTGAATCTGTGTCAGTTACATGCCAAGACAAGCACTATATCTGCTATATCACTGTATCACTCCACTCCTCCATCCCGTTTATTTTTGGGGCCACACCTGTCAGTGCCCAGGGCTTACTCCTGACTCGGTGCTCAGGGACTGCTGGTGAGGGGGGAGGGGACACCCTGAGATGTGCCAGAGATTGAACCCAGGCGGGCCACATGCAAGCACCTTGCCCACTCTGCTGTCTCTGCAGCCCCGCCTGTCAGTTTTCAGGCTTGCTTTGGTGTACTTTTTTATGTCTCATAGCTAAGGTTTTAGAAGTAGACCCGCTTGCATTTTTTATGAATCGGGGTGCAGGATTTGCCCCTTCGTTGTCACACATGGCAGTGAGCAGGCTGTGTCCCTTCCCCAGGACGTGGCTGATAACCAGATCGACTCTGGGGACCTGATGGAGTGTCTGATACAGAACAAGCACCAGAAGGACATGAACGAGAAGTGCGCCATCGGGGTCACTCACTTCCAGCTGGTCAGTAGTCCCTGGTGGTCACTTTCCTTGTCGCTCTGGGATCGTTGCTGAATCCCCTCCTCGTCTGTGGAAAATCATTTCTTTCCAAATATATGTCCTGTTTCAATTTGTTGTCCATCGATACCAGCCCCAACCCGTGTGGTTTTTGCCCTCCACAGCCAGGCAGTGGTTCCGCTCCCGAAAGTGGCAGGGACTTGGAAAAATAAGAGCACAGAGCAAACCTTCCACAGTCCCGGGGAGCAGACAGGCCACCGGGACTTGGCTGTGTCTGTGTCACTGGCTTTCAGGAGGTGTTTTAGCCTCTCCTCCTGCTGGCTGTTGGTGTCACTGTGTCACCGTGCAGTACAGGGCCCCAGAGTGCCTATTTCTAAGTCCTGCTGCCCAGGCCTGTTGGAGTACGAAGGGGAAACCACGTTCCGAGGTAGTGCGTAATAGCTCCCTGCAGGCGCTCGTGCGCATAAGACAGCCACTTCTGTCCCGAGAGGCACGTCTGGGCCTCCTCTGCGCTTGCTCCCTACTCAGGCCCCCGAGTGCCTGTTGGCTGCGTGTGCCAGTCTGCAAATCAGTGGCATCTTAACTGGGGCTACAAAGGGACCGTCAGATGTCCCTTGTGCTGTCTGGGAGATGGAGATGGGTTGGGCGATGAAGGAGGAAGTTCTGAGGAAACATCAAGAAGGTGACAGGGAAAGACAGGGAGATCCATGTGCCCCTTTGATGGAAGGAGCAGGGGTCAGGGGAAGTCAGCGGGCAGCGTCCTGGGGAGCGGGGAGGGTCATGTGTGTTCAGCAAAGGGGCCTCTGGAAAGGATGGGATGCTGTGAGGAACTTGCCACAAACCTCTGTTTTTCTTTCTCACCATTTTCAGGTGCAGATGAAGGATTTCCGGTTCTCTTACAAGTTTAAGATGGCCTGCAAGGAGGACGTGTTGAAACTTTGCCCCAACATAAAAAAGAAGTAAGTTGCTTTTTGATGAACGCGTTCTGCTTGCCTTGAAGCCTCTCCTGACTGCTGAAAGAGTGAGTTTTCAAGATGCCGGGCAGAGGCTGGAACAATAGCACACCACTGTGGATAGGGCATTTGCCTTGCACGCGGCCAACCCAGGTTCGATCCTCAGCATCCCATAGGGTCCCCCAAGCACCGCCAGGAGTAATTCCTGAGTGCAGAGCCAGGAGTCAGCCCTGAGCATTGTCAGGTGTGACACAAAAAGAAAAAAGAAAAAAGAAGATGCCAGGCGGCATCCTGCTGTCTAGAGACTGGCCCTAGAGACCGCCCCTCTCCTCTGGTGGAAGGGCTGAGCCTTTGGTAATCTGCTTCGTGGTCTGATCAGCTGTATTGAGCTGCGGCTGCTGGCAGTAGTTCTGACAGGGACAGTCAGCAGCCAGAGCAGAGCTTTTTTGTTTTGTTTTGGGGCCACACCCAGCAGTGCTCAGGGGTACTCCTGGCTGTGCACTCAGGGGTATTCCTCCAGGTGCTTGGTGGACCATGTGGGATGCCGGGGATCAAACCTGAGGTGGCCGCATGCTAGGCAAGAGCCTTACCTGTTGTGCTGTCCTTCCAGCCCCAAAGCAGGGTTTCTTAAACTATTTCCAGTTACGACCTTTTTTTCCCCAAGAAATTCTTATGATACCCCAGGTACATAGGTATATAGAAAAGGTATAAACATTAACTGACGAACATTTCAACTAATACATGTAAATGATAATAATACATAAATGTAAAGATTCCTTAAAAATTAGGACATTTTGGGGGTCTGGAGAGAGAGCACAGCGGGTAGGGCGTTTGCCTTGCACGCGGCCAACCCGGGTTCGATTCCCAGCATCCCATATGGTCCCCTGAGCACCGCCAGGAGTAACTTATGAGTGCAGAGCCAGGTGTAACTCCTGTGCATAGCTGGGTGTGACCCAAAAAGCAAAAAAAAAAAAAAATTATGACATTTTTAAAGTTACTGATAACAAGTCATAAATAAATACATTTTTTAATTATTATTATTATTATTAGTAGAACATCATGAGGTACAGTTGTAGATTTACAAGTCATAAATACATTTTAAGACAAATTTCTTGTGACCCCAGCGTTCAGTTTCGGATGCCAGATGGGGTCAAGACCCACAGTTTAAGAAGCTAGGGGCCAGGTACTGTGGTGTACAGTGGGTAGAATGTTTGCCTTGCACACGGCTGACCCGGGTTTGATCTCTCGCACCCCAGCTGGTTCCCGGAGCACCTCCAGGGGCAATCCCCAAGCGCAGAGCCAGAAGTAAGCCCTGAGCACCATCTGGTATGGCCTAAAACACAAACAAATTAAAAAGAAGCAGCTCAGGCCAAAGGAGCGTTTCCCTCCCCTCCGCTCTTCCAGGCTCAGGCTGTCTAACTAGTGAAGCAAGTACAGAGTGCGGGCTTAGCGGGGCAAGCTCCGTGTGAGGAAAGAAGCGAGCTGACTCCTGCCAGCATCTTTCCATTATGTCATCTCTTGGGGGAAGCAGCAAGTTCTTTGACTGGGTTGGAGAGCTCGTGAGGAAACAAAACCACGATTCATCCTGCACTGGGGCTCGCTGAGGATGCGCTTCGGGTGCGGCTGTCCGCGGGTGCCCAAGATGCCTCGGCATCTCTCCCCCTGTTGCCCTCCTGTGCTCCCGTGGCTTAGGCTTTTGTTTCGGGAGACAGCACAGATTCAAGGCAGCGTTCCTCTCTGCTCACGGCTGCGGCCTCCCCGCCTGCCAGACTCGTCATCAGCATTCAGGCCGCGGTTGCCCAGAGCAGTGTGGCTGTCAGCCCTGCCCCGCCCCCGGGCCTCAGTCTTGGCTCTCTCTTCCCGGCAGGGTGGACGTGGTCATCTGCCTGAGCACGACCGTGCGCAACGACACGCTGCAGGAGGCCAAGGAGCACCGGGTGTCCCTGAAGTGCCGGAAGCAGCTGCGGGTGGAGGAGCTGGAGATGGTAATGCCCTGGGCACGACCTCGGCACCCGCAGCCACAGGGGCAGGGTCCGAGGTTTCACCGTAGGAAAATGTGCTCCCTTCTTGTGGCCTCTTCCTTTGGATGGTCCGAACCCTTTTTCCACATGCAAGTGGAAGTCCCTCTGAGCGCACGGTTCTCTTGCTGTACCTCTTGTGTCCTCCCCGAGGGGGTGGCGACCCCTCCTCTCCCGTGTCCTGCTGGTCTTTGGTACCCACTCGGTGAATAGGCCTGAGAGCTGTGGCTGCCCGCAGCTACCCGGCTTCCTCTCACAAGATGGGCTCCAGCAGGCAGGGGAGAGCGAGAAAGCGCAAGGTCAAGTCCTTCCATTCCATTGGATTGTGTCGGTGTGGGGATCTGTGCCTGCCCCCTGCCCAGCAGCCTCCTGGCACTGATGAGCTGCTCTGGGGCACCGGGGATTGAGGGTCAGCACTGCATGGGTTGAGAGAGGAAACATCTTGCTTCCTTGGGAGGTTAAGCCCCAAGAGGCTAAACAGGTGTTTAGGGCCAAAGCGATAGTACAAGGGGGAGGGCGTTTGCCTGGTAGCGGCCAACCCAAGTTTAATCCCCAGTATCTCATATGGTCCCCCAAGCACCCCCAGGAGTAGTCCCTGAGCACCACTAGGTATGAACCCAAAAAACCATGTTCATTGCTGTGTTGTGAATGGTGCTGCTTTCCCCTTAAGCAAAAGCTAATAGGGAATAAAAAGATACAATCGATGTCTCCAAAGGCCATATATGCTACAGCTCATGGGCTGGAGTGCAAATAGTTTGCATGCAGTCGCTAGCACTACATGATCTCCCAGCACTGCCAGGAGTACCCTTGAGCACCGGCAGGTTGGCAGACAACCCCACCCGCCCTGCCACTTTTCCTCTCTCCCCCCTTCCCTCCCCCCACACACACCCCAAGTGTTTTGATTTTGTTTGGGGTTTCTGTCTTAGAACCTAGCTCTTTGAATAAGATCCTATAATCATGAAAGTGGGACACTACATTCTGTAGTGGCATAAGCGTGTGGGACCAGTTAAGGCAGGGTCACTTTCCCATGCTGCTCCCCTCTCCTGCAGACAGAGGACATCCGTCTAGAACCTGACCTGTACGAAGCCTGCAAGAGTGATATCAAGAACTACTGTGCTGCTGTGCAGTACGGCAACGCTCAGGTACTCTCGCTGTTTCTCAGTTGGGAAAGGAACGTGGTGGGGCAGTTGAATAATTACTCTCCGGTGTGATTGGCCCCAGCGCTTCTGCTCACCCTGTGGTTTCCTGTGAGGCCACTCCACGCTGCATTTCCCAAGATCCTTACCCAGGCTCCTTGTCACCTCTTCCTTCTCTTTCTTTTTTCGAGTTCCCTTGTCGTTCCCCGCCTTGCCTGAGTCATCACCCAAAATGATCCTTCAGGGGCCTTCTCACTGGCTTTCCCAACCCCCTCCACCTTGAATTAATTAACCCCTCTTCTCTTCCTGTGACACAGAAGAATCATCTAAGGATCCGTCTCCTTTTCAGATACACAGAGCAGGGTCCTGCCAGAATCATCCTGAAAGGAAGTGCAAACAGATGATTTCTCTTACTGTTCTCCCAGTGACTCAGTCACTGCTTCCGGGTTGGGGCCTTGCTTTTGCCTTGATGCTAATGGTTCCATTGTCTTCATGCTGCTGCAGAGTGTCAGGTCACTCTGATTCTCATTTCTGTGTCGTTCTGTCTCTGCATTTTCTTATGTGAAAGCATCTGCAGTTTTACTGTGGCGGTCTGAAATTTTTTGTTGTTGTTGTTCTGCTTAATTCTTTCAGCCCCGGAGTTTGTGTCTCTCTTCAGTTCTCGGAAATTCTCTTTACTGTTCTTTCAACCAGAGCTTTCCTTTACCTTTCTTCTGGAAGTCCGTGAGGTGATTGGGCTCCTGCATCAGGCCTTTGGAGTCTCCGTGCCTGCACTCTATCTCTTTTGCTCTGAGGTAGCTCTTCAGTTTCGTTTCCCAACTTAATAACTTGCACTGCGCATTCCTCTTCGGCCTAGATCATTGAATGTCTGAAGGAGAACAAGAAGCAGCTCAGCGCCCGTTGCCACCAGAAAGTTTTTAAGCTGCAGGAGACCGAGATGATGGACCCGGAACTAGACTATACGCTCATGAGAGTCTGCAAGCAGATGATAAAGGTAAGGGCTTTGAACCCAGGAGCTAGGCAGGGAAGACCCGACAGCAGAACCATTCTCAGGAGCCAGCGAAGTCCCCACACACACCCCCATGCCAGCGCACTTTCCACAGCAGAGAAGGCGCCGCTCACAGCAGGTCCTGGGGCCTGTGGCGTCAGCATCTCCTGGGCACTCGGTGGTTCTTGAGTCCCTCCCCAGGTCTGCTGAGTTGGAATCTGGTTCGACTACGCCCTCGTCTCCGCCTACCTGAGCTGAGGCGCGAGGCGTGAATGACCATGGTAGTGCAGGGCCTCGGGCAGGAAGCCAGGAGAGCCTGACCACGGAGGCTCCATCGTCCGGTCTCTTCCGGACTGTCGCTCACTGGGCAGCTTCAGGGGACCTCTGGATTTAGGCGATGGACGTGGCGTTTGCTGCTCTCTGACTTCAAGGTCACTGACCAGTGTCCAGGGCCTAGCACCTCCCACTCTGCTGCGTGAGCCCACGGCCCCGTCCACCTGGGTGGGTGGGTGTTTCTTTTTGTCCTGTCAGCTCTCTGGCCTCCTGCTAAAGCTCCCCAGTTGTCACGTCGTGGAGCAAAATAGGGAATGAGGATGCAGTAGAAAGAAACGTGGGGAACCCGGTTGGGTGAGGAGTGGGCAGCTTGAGGCTGAGTCACTGTTTTTCTGAGAGAAGGCGACACCTTCAGGCTGCTTCCGGCACGAGCCTCCCAGTAGAAGCAGAAGTGACGCAGATGGCGGAAACTCCGTCTGCTTCATGTCTCCCTCAGTGTCCTCTGGGAGGTGACAGGGCATACAGGCATAAATAGCAGCGGGCTCGTGTGGAGGATCAGTCTCCTTTGCAGTGGGGCATTCTCCTCACCCCTCAGACCCGCAGTCAGTGGCAAAACTTGTGTTTCTTTGCAGAGATTTTGTCCAGAAGCAGATTCCAAAAACATGTTGCAGTGCTTAAAACAAAATAAAAATAGCGAACTGATGGATCCCAAGTGTAAGCAGATGATAACCAAGCGCCAGATCACCCAGAACACAGGTAACTTCCGGGAGGAGCCCAAACATCACAGAGTGTGGCCCAAAACCAAGAAACTGAAAGCGTGAAGTGCAGGTGCTTTGTTGCTCCTGCACTTTAAGGCCCCCGTGGAACTGCTGACTCCTCCTTGGAGGTCACCAGGAAGCGGGTGACATCCCCATGGGGCTGGCAGTGCTGAAGCAGCAGGCATCGCCTCTGTTAGCAGGAACCAGGGCTCAGGTGCCTCGGAAGGTCTAGAGAATTCCTAGAACTTCACACGCGTGGCCTGAGAATACACGGGCCGTGATCTTACAACAGAAACGTTTCAGGTCTGACTTAAACACCTGTGAGTCTTCAGAAGTCCCGGGTCAGAGTGGCTATTGTCCACGGGACTGCACAGACCACCTCAAGGGTGATGGGTGCCATAGGACCCTTTCAGATCCTCAGAGCTGGATCCCTGGGTCTCCACCCTTCCACCAAGTCCTGCCGCAGATGAAGATCAGTGGAGTGGACAATGCCCAGATGACACAGCGTAGCCCCATTCGGAAGACTCCAAGCATGTGAGTCCAGGCAGGGGCAGATTATGACATGTCCTTTCTTCTCCAGATTACCGCTTAAACCCTGTGCTGAGGAAAGCCTGTAAAGCTGACATCCCTAAGTTCTGTCATGGTATCCTGACTAAGGCCAAGGACGACTCGGAGCTCGAAGGTCAAGTCATCTCTTGTCTCAAGCTGAGATATGCAGACCAGGTAAACCAGAAGGGTGCCCCGCAGACGCGTCCCCTCACAGTCCCCGTGTCCTGGCACTGGCTCTCTCCTCTGCTTCCCCGTGCCCTTCTCACACCTTCCATGTGTGTGTGTGGGGGGGGGGTGGCCGGAGTGGGGACACATCTTCTCACTGGCTGACGTATCCTCCCTCTCTCTCTCTCTCACGTAGCGGCTCTCTTCAGACTGTGAGGACCAGATCCGGGTCATTATCCAGGAGTCTGCACTCGATTACCGACTAGACCCTCAGCTCCAGCTGCACTGCTCAGATGAGGTACGGGCACTGGCGGGGCCACTGGTAGAGAGGGTCTTACCAGAGAAACGCTCTTGGTGCTCTTCCGCTCGCTCGCTGTCTGTCTCCCTGTCTCTGTCTCTCTCTCTCACTCTCTGATTCCATTGTTGGTTGAAGGCCCGTTTCCTAGGGCCTCTGGTCTGAGTTTCTTGTTCTGACTATCAGTCTCAGTTTCATATGTTGTTGGTCCCGCATATCTCTGTTGAATGAGAGTATTCTGCAGTTGTGTTTTTTTCTTTAACAGAATTTGTGTTTGGAAACTTTTATTTTCTGACTAGAAAATGCCACATTTAGAAAGTCCTGTTTAACATGTCAATATTCAGGAATCATTTCTTTGAAAGCTGTTTCAAAGAAACTTATACATAAAACTGCTCACAGAAGGTTGGATCCTACTTTACTTGTTTTCAGTGCTGGGGATGAAACCCAGGGCCTCACGCATGCAAACCGGGTGTTGTGCAGCTGAGCCACTTCCCAGCCCCCTAATATTAGAATGCATTCTGTGTTGTGGGCCAGGCTTCGGGACGTGTGCAGGGGGGGGGTATGATTTGTGGGGTGCGTGGGTGGTAAGCGTGTGCGATGTGCACACAAGCTGAGGACTGCAGTGTAAGCGTGTGCGATGTGCACACAAGCTGAGGACTGCGGTGTCTGGCGTTTGCCTGCTCTGTGCACTCGACGCCGCCTTCCTCGGAGCAGTCCTGGGGCAGACTGACCCAGACACGCCGGTTTCCAGCTCTAAGCCGTCCCAAGGGACGACTTGGCCCCAGCTTCCAGTGCTGGGCTGGGTGGGACTGTGGGTGGCAGAGACCGGCTCTGTGGAGCACACGGGGACTCTTGGTGTCTCCTGGGCAGATCTCCAATCTCTGTGCCGAAGAGGCGGCCGCCCAGGAGCAGACGGGGCAGGTGGAGGAGTGCCTCAAGGTCAACCTGCTGAAGATCAAGACGGAGATCTGTAAAAAGGTGCCCGACCCCCTCGCCCCGCCCCCTCTCTGCCTCTCGGTGAAGCCAGACCTTCCCCTCCTGAGTTCCGTGCTGTTTCTTCTCGTCAAACGCGGCCGGCCCTCGACCACTAATCACCCGCCACTTTGTCCCTTGCTTGTAAACGTGGTGGTGACACAGGGTCACACGTGCTGTCTGTCCCCGCGTGTCCTTGGGTTTGCGGACAGCAGGACGTGAGGGTCCCCTCACCCGGCTCTCGGCCTTGACCTTCCCCTCCCAGGAGGTGCTGAACATGCTCAAGGAGAGCAAGGCCGACATCTTCGTGGACCCCGTCCTGCACACGGCGTGCGCCCTGGACATCAAGCACCACTGCGCCGCCATCACCCCTGGCCGCGGCCGCCGTAAGTCGCCATGTCCTTGCGGGTCCCGTTGCTGGGCTGGACCTTTCTGGCAAACAGCCTTTCGATTTCAGCTGACCGAGCCAGGGCCACCCCCAGAAATGGGACAGGGGAAAGCAGAGACCTGGGGCCGGGAAGCAGAGGCTGAGCAGCGTCACGCCCCTCCCTGCCCGCCCGTCACGCTGTCCCACTCGGCTTCCCAGCGGCTACAGGGGTCGGGACTGCAGGCTTCAAGTTTGGGGCACTGGTGGGTGTGAAATTATTTCTGAGCCAGACATACCTGATAAAAATGAAAAAGGTGGGGCTGGAGCGATAGCACAACAGGTAGGGCGTTTGCCTTGCATGTGGCCGACCTGGGTTCGAATCCCAGCATCCCATATGGTCCCCTGAGCACTGCTAGAGTAATTCCTGCGTGCAGAGCCAGGAGTAACCCCTGAACGTCACCAGGTGTGACCCAAAAAGAAAAAAAAATGAAGAAGGTTTTTTAAAAAGGCTTAAATATGAAATGAGAGCACTCCTTAGGGTCCCCAGAGCACCACCAGTAGTGATTCCAGAGTGGAAGGCCAGGAGTAACCGTTGAGCACTGCCAAGTGTAGCTCAAAAACAGAACAATAAATGAAATGAGAAAGGCTTATTCCGGAGAGGTAGCATAGGGGTTAGTGCTTGCAAGGCCTTGCCTGCAGCAGCCACGGTTAGATTTCGGACACTGCTTCATTCCCATTCATTTCTGGCACCACCACAGGCAGGAGTAGCCCCTTAGCACTGCGGGGGGCAGCTGAACCCCCTGAACCAAAGCACGAAAATAGACTCATTAACCACAAAGGGTTCTGGGGAATAGGCTCTCAGGAAAATGAGATCGTTTCCAGAGAGAGGGGACTGCAGCCTTGAAATAGCTTGTTTCTTCATGTTGTGTCCCACAGGTGGGTTTTTTTGAGGGAGGGGGTGTTTGGGTTTTTTTTTGTCCACAAACATGAATTTTCTAGTCACCAAACTCACTCCCTCCCCTCCCCCACTCATCTGGTGTTCTGTACTGGATCAAACCCTTCTTTGCTTCCACAGAAATGTCTTGTCTCATGGAGGCACTGGAGGATAAGCGGGTGAGGTTACAGCCGGAGTGCAAGAAACGCCTCAATGACCGGATCGAGATGTGGAGCTACGCGGCAAAGGTACGGCCACATGCCCCCCTCCCGTGTCCCAGCCTCGCTGTCCCCGGGGAGAGCCTGGAGCCACCAGCCCCGCCGTGTGGGCACTCTGCCGGCCCCACCGGGCCCCCGCTCCCAGCCCCCCAGAAGACAAGCGGGCGTCCTGCCCACGGGCACAGAACGAAATTCAGGCGCTTCCATCTTGAAGTTCGTTTTTGTCTCTGGGCTGTGTTTGAAACTGGGCACAGGGAGGAGAGGAGGCAGAGCAGGGCGTTTGCCGCCGGACTCTGTCAGCGAAGCGTGTGCAGGAATTCGCCTCATCCAGAGAGAGTTCCAGGCTGCAGTGCGCCGAGCCTGGGTTCAGTCCTGGGCACTGTGATCCCCAACACCTTCAGGAGCAACTCCTAGGCACCACTGGGTGTGTCCACCACACACATGCACTCACACTCACACACAATTCAAACATCCAGCCTCCATGAGAAGCGTGACTGCTTCCGGGTAGTTGCTTTGTTGTTTATAAAACACCCTGGTGTTGGTGAGGAAACTGCCCTGCCCAGCCACGGGTCACTGACAGGTTTCTGCGTCTGGGTCATGGGAGCACCCGCAGCTTTCCCGCTGGTCCCGGCTGGACTCATCCAGCTGTCTGAGCACTCTGGCTTCTGCATGCGCTGTCGGCGCCTCACACTCGAACGCGCCGACACAGGTTGCAGGGTTGGTTAAGTCAGGGCCAAGCCGGGAACCGTGAGAGCGTCTCGCCCAACTGCTGGGTGGTCAGCTGGAGGGAGCCCAGCGCTGTGACCGAGCAGCCCAGCGACGCCCCTGCTTCTCCCTGTGGGCTGTGTTGCTCACGCCTCGCTGAGCCCCAGCCTCCCTACTCCCCCCCCGCGTCCCTGGGTGGCAGCAGCCTTGTTGGCCGGCCCCTCGTAGGCACCCAGGTTCGTGTGTACCCCAGAAACCTCAGTCCCGATTCTGCCGCAGCAGGTGGCAAGCGGTGAAGAAACTGGGCATGAACTGGTTGGACTTTAGAGTCCGAGGTGGGGGGTGTGGCTGGGCACTCGAGCACTTGCTTGCATGTGTGAGGTCCTGGGTTCGATGCCCAGCACTGTAGAAGCAAAGTCTATGGGAGCAAGTGGTTGCACTCGTTTGTCTCACCCAGGCTGCACAGTGTTCTGATGCGGGGGCTGGGGTGCAGCGGTGACGGAAGGAGGGTGTGTACACAACAGTCCGGTGCTTGCCTCTCTGCTTGTGAAGGCGACCAGCGGGCCCATCGGGACCTTATTCAGGTCACTCAGCCTGCAGCCACCATGGGGTGTTCACATGACCTGGGAGAATCGCTTGCACTGTGAGGATTGGCAGAATGACTTCATGACTGAAATCACAGTGAACCCAGAGCATGGTGGCGTTCTTGGTGCAGCGGTGTTCAGTAGCGTGTTGTGAGGGTCACTGGGTTGAGTTGTTAGAGACCCCCACGCCCCCTCTGTCTCTCCCTTTGAGCCTCGTGGAACTGTGCGCGTTAGCCTGGCCATGCTCGAGGCCTCGGCCCCTGCCCTGTCTCCCCAAAAGAAAGGACGTGCAGTCCAGCTGGGGCTCGAGGCGCACCCGGCAGCCCATTGCTGGCCTGGCCCGCTGCTCTTTGGGAGGGTGACGCTGCAACCTGTCATTCCAGGTGGCACCCGCTGATGGCTTCTCCGACCTCGCCATGCAAGTGATGACGTCACCGTCCAAGAACTACATCCTCTCCGTCATCAGCGGCAGCATCTGCATCTTGTTCCTGGTCGGCCTCATGTGCGGACGCATCACCAAGCGGGTGACACGCGAGCTCAAAGACAGGTAGAGCCAGAGCCACCTTGACCGCCAGAAGAGCGACCTGTCCAGAGCCCCGTTTGTACAGCCCTCCTGTATAGTGTCCCCACTCACCTCCTTCCGAGAGGCGCCACCAACGCCCCGCTAGAGCAGCAGGGCCCCACTGCGCTGTCCCGACGCCGACCTGCCCGTGTCCAAGGCGTCCGCCGCAGCAGCTGGCCGCTTTGGCTCTTTCGCCTTCGCCGGCAGACGTGGGTCGGCTTGCCCATAGACAAGGCTCTCCGAACCAACGCATCTGACCTGCAACTCGATTTCAGACAAACAGAAACACGACAAAAAGGAAAGAAAAATTTTTTTGAGAAAGAAAGAAAGAAAAAAATGTATATAGTATCACATCTTCTCCAGGCTTGTGTGGGGCAGTGGGGTTCTTTCTTCTGTGTGACTCTGTACTCCAAAGGCAGGACTTCGGGGAGACCACCTCAGTATGCAGTGACAGGGTTGCCACGCCCGTTTCTCAGAAGCAACTGGGGGCCAGGAGGACTGCGGGCTGCTCCGAGTAGCGGGAAACCACTGGCCAGCTTCGGGTCCCGTTTGTTTCCGCCAGCACAGCGGTGCCCTCCGCATCCCGCCTGCTCATGCCCCAAGGCCTCCTCACCTCAGTGATGTCCAGCATGCGCCTCCCCCGTCCACCCGGGCAGGGCTGGGAGGGTCAGGAGTGTGGGCGCCTGGTCGGCAGGACTCCAGCCGCTCCTGGTCCAGGCCGGGGCACTGGCGCCGGGACTCGTCCTCTTGGGAGCACTGGGAACAGACGGCAGAGACTGGGGGACAGGCCGGCAACCCCGTGTCCCGGTACTGGACAGGCTCCTTTGTACCTCAGCCCGGAGCGGGCGCGGAAAGTTGTCACATTAAAAGATGGAGGCGTCTCCATTCTCTCCCGTCCGTCCATTTGCTGCGTTTGCCCTGGAGTGGGCTCGGGCTGCCCCGTGCGCTGGCGACCCAGAGCTTTATGGAAGCAATATATGACCTGGCCACGAGTGACCAGCGCAGGGGCGAGTGGGGGTGCCAGAGCCAGGCCTCACCCTGGCACCTTGGCGTGAGTCGGGGACAGGCACAGAGGCTGTGCAGGAGGGCGGCGTGTACAGTGGGGGGTATATTTATATAATATATATTTTATTAACCTGTTAGACATCCACAGAGTATTATAAATCACGTGCCTAAAACTCCGCACAGACCGTGCCCACCCTGTCACCCCAGTCCCATCCCTGGAACCCGGCGGCCCTGTCTCCCCCCAAGTGTCTCCATCACCCCGGGTCGGCGTGTGGATCATTGGTCCCGTTACTCCTTGTCTAACCTGACTGACTTTTTGTTTGAAAACTGTGGTTTCCTTCCTGTTTTCCTTCACTCCTGTCCCTGGAGGCCTGGAGTGCGCCCTGCTGGGCTCCTGGTCACTGCGGGTAGCCACGAAGTTCCCCTCAGTCCATAGTCAGGGTCTTCCTGGTCCTCAGCAGGTATCCAGGGGCTCTTTAGTCCCAAAACTTGAAACTCTGTGAGTTGAGGCCCCCGGTCTCCTGGGGCTCCGCTGTGTGGGTGCTGCTGGGCGTCCCAGCAGGGCTGCTTGGGCACCTCTGCTGCCCCGGTGACAGGAGACTTGTGCCCTGGCCGCTGCCTGCAGCCAGCGGGAAGTTGGCCTGGGAGTCTGTCCCTAAAGCGTCCCCCCTTGGGACAGGACATGGACAGCTGCCGCTGTGGGAGCTGCTTGTCGCGGTGAAACATTGTGTCCCTCTCGGGTCCTTCCCGCAGAGCCCCAGGTGCCCTTTTCATGTCACCTGAACATTCTGGACCTCATTTGGTGTGACAGCAGGCCCGGGGCACCTCTGGTGACTGACCTCCGTCACTGGTCAGTGGCTATAAACCTACGGGGGCAGCAGTGGTCCCCGAGGCGACTAGTGAGGGCGTTGACCTTCATCTCTTCCTGCTGCCTCACCCGTGAACAACATAAGCAGCAGGTGGGGACAGTCGGGACAGTGACCGTAGCTGGTTGCCCCTGAGGCTCTGCTTTACCAGGAGGGCTCCCTGGAGACTGCAGCTGGGGGCACCAGAAGTCAAGATCGGGGCGGGTTGTGGGGAGCTAGACTAACCCCCACTAGGAGCACCTCCATGGGATGAGCCTTTCCGGGGCCTCCTGCCTCTCTGCCATTCTGTTACCCCCAGAGGAGTCAATGCACCAAGGTGGGGCCACCGCCAGAGGCAAAGCCGCCGCCTGTGTTCCCTGGCGCCCCCTCACGATGCTAATCAGTCACCCCGGCAGCAGCTTGTGGGGAGCCAGAATGTCTGTGGCTCGGAACCCTGCGGAGGGAGCAGGCACCGATGATGTCTGCAGCTCCTCCAAGATGTCTGGAACTTTCTCGGCCCACGGCGTGGAGGGAGTTAGGCGCCACCCCCCCACCCCCACATGAGCTGACAGCTGCATGGGCACCAGTGCTCCCAGGGCCACAGCCTAGTAAGTCCCGGGGCGGGGAAGACGTTATTGGGGCTGGGGGGCTTCTCCCCCATGGCCAGCATGTTCAGCGTAGAATAAAATAGATCCAGCTCTTCAAGTTGTGCATTTGGTACATCTGCTTGTTTCAGGGCCTTGGGAACTCGGAGCCCTCGGGTCAGAAAGTTCCCTGGCCTCAGTCTCCCTCTGAGCACCACCCAGGTGCATGTGTCCGGGCCACTTCTTCCTGCTCCCCCTTCCCCCAGGCCTCTGATCTGCACGACCTGGCGCTGGGCTGGCGTCCACCCGCCTGTCTGGTTGCTTGAGCCGCTCACGCAACTCCTCCCTCTTGGCAACCAGGCTCACGTGTGGGGGTCATCAGCTGCAAGGCCAGGCCCCCACTTCCGGCCCCGGTCTTGGGAAGCAGATGGGACTTTAGCAAACCCATATTGTGCTAATGTCCAGAGTGTGCAGGCTGGTCATGACACGGGAGGGGGCCCTGGGCGCTTTGGGTCACCTGGAGCATTCAAGGGGGAGCTGTCTGCTTGGCAGCCCCAGCCACGTTTCTACCACGCACAGCTGGGCTAGGAGTTTGTCCTCCCGCCGGTGTTTCTCCGTGCTAACCCCTTCCCTCCCGGCCCCCAGAGCCCAGCGTGGCCCATCCGGAACTGCAGGTAAGGGAGCAGGTGCCCCGGTCAGCCCTGGCAGGGACCCGGCCCACCACCGGCCTCAGGGCTCAGTGCTCCGGCCCAGGAGGTCGTGGGCCTTTTTTTTTTTTTTTTTTTTTTTTAAGGAAAGAAAAAAGGAACGTGAAATTCCCCGGCCTCTTTTGTAAATGGTTTTCTTTCTATGTATAGAATTCTGGCAGTTCCTTGTTTTTACATGTTCATGCTGTGTAATTTTGAGATGTTACTGAGATTCTGAAATTAATGTGCATTTTTTTTTCTGTACAGAAGAAATGGGAGAATTTAATAAAGAGTTTGCAGGTTTTTACTTGTTAAATCTGCTCTGTGGTGTCTGGGCGAGCGTCCGTGGAGCTGTGAGCCCGGCCACCACTCCTAAAACTTCCTGGGAGCTTGGGGGGGGGGGGCGCATCTTGACTCCTACAGTCAGATTTGGGGCTGGAGTTATGATCTGGGGTTCCCCACATTCAGACTCATCAGAGGGCTCATTGTGTTCTTCTCCTTTCCTGGACACCCCCCACCTTTGCCATGCCACCACCCCCTATAGCAGAGCTGATCTTTGTCGGTGCGAGGAAGGAGCGGCTGTGGTGTGTGCAGTGTGAAGGAGCCCTGCGAGCTTCCTCAGAGCTCTCAGCCCCGAGAGTGCGGGGCGCAGGGCCCTGAGTCCCAGCTGTGAACTTCCCGTAGGGCCTGGGGGTGTGTGAGCATCTTGGAGGTGCTGCTCTGCCTTCATGATCTGAGGTGGGAAATGAGGTGCTGGGCTTGGACTCCTGCTCCCAGGAACCCCCCTAGGGAAGTGGGCGCAGTGGGCCAGGAGCCACCCCAGACGGGGAGGGGCAGGCCTTTCGGAGTGGATCACCCCACCACCAGCTTTGTGGGTGAAGGTTTATCTGGTAACAAGACCCTGAGCCATGACCAGGCCTCACGGCCAAGTTGCCATTGATCCTCTAGAGGGACCCAGAGCAAAGGGGCTCCCCGGTCACCCCATCTGTGCAGAGGACGGAAGAAGGTGGCCAGGTTGCAGGGTGAGGACCCACCCTTGCAAGCCCTGCACCGCCTGGGCTTATTGGGTCTCCCAATAACACAGCCTCACCATGGAGCTGGGGGCCCCACACAACACTCTGGACAGCCAGACAAGATGAGGACTACGAGCCAGCAGAGCATGGACAGGGTAGCCGGGGCAGCGGCCCCTCCTCAGCTCTTCAGCTCCTCCTACCCTCCTGAGTGCTCAGGGCCTGCCCCTCGGCCCTCCTGGTACCGGAGGTCCTTGGGTGCAGACAGCAGCCGTGACGCCTCCAGGCAGCTGCCAGGATTAGGCTGTAGATCTGAGCTGCCCCCAGGAGCCTTAGGTGGCAGCAGTGAAGGTCTCCTGGGCCCCTGATGGGGGGAGAGGAACCGCTGCAGGCCACATGGAACTTCTCACCTCTGTCCTCTCGCCCTGTAGCCTCCAGGAAGGCAACTCTGCACCCCCTCAAGGACAGAGCTGGAACTGGCTGGGACAGGTGGGTACCACTAAACCCTGTAGAAGGAAAAGGGCCCCATGGGCCCACAGACCAGGGGACAGAATGAGTCTAATCCACTGTGCCTGGTAGGTCCCCTCCATCCTCCTACATCCATTTCTGGCCTGGGCACTCCTCTGTCCCCATGGCAGCTTCCCACCTTCCCAGTGCCCCCCACGGAGCTCCAGAGAGCCTCCTTTTTCTCCCCCTCCTCAACTTCCTGCATTCGAAGCACTGACGGTGTTGGATTCAGCCATGTGGGCTTCTAAATGCCTGGCTGGGGCCCTCTGTCCTCCTTGCAAGTGCTGGTGCTCCCACCATATTGGTGCCATAGACTGGGGGGCGACCCTCCCCCCACCAACTGCTGTAGCGCGAGAGGATGTGGGTCCAGGCAGGCCCGCTCCGCACCACACACCAGATCTGTGGGTTGCCGTGTCCACTTGTCACAGAAGGCTGAGGCTGGAACAGTGACAGTCAACTTCTGAGGCAACTGAGGAGGCAGACGACAGGGACCCCCCCACAAAACAAGGGCAGCATCTTTTATGGGGCACCTAGTGCCGACTCCACCTCATACATGGTTCCTAGGTGACCACTGGGAATGCATGCAGCCCTCAGTGAGGGGGTTCGGCCTGGGACTGTCGTTGGGTGAGCTCCTCAGTATAGCAGGATGCTTGCACCAGGCATAAGCAGACTTGCAGTGAGCCCCAGAGATGTGGGGACTGAGACATGAGACAGCCGTGATCAGGTTGTCCAAGTGTCTGGCTCAGGGACAAAGAAAAATCCAGCCGAGCCTGAAGCTGGGTCCTCTCTGGGCCATTTCAGCTTCCTGCGCTAATACATGAATGACAGGGTTATCACTTGACTTGCCTGTGGTTGACCCTAAGTCGATCTGTGGCACCAGTTGACCGTGGGGTTAGTGCCCTGCTCTCCCTGTCTTAGAGAAAACAAAAATTAGCGTCTTTGTTTTGGAGCAATTCAGTGTGACTTGGGACCTCCAGTGCCTTCCCGGGTTGCCAGGAAAGGTTGCTCCCTAAAGTATGGACGTGGGTTGATGTCTCCATTCTCAGCTATGGGAGCGCATCTGGGCCCCTTCCTCTGATTCAGCTGCCAGCTGTGGCCACCATAGAACAGAAGACCTCGACTAAGAGGTCTACTGGCAGAGGCAGTTTACTAAGCAGAAGCTGATGGAGCAGCCAAGGAAGGAAGCAGGTGGATCACACTGGGACCCAGGGCGCCTAGACATTGGCACTGCCCACTCCTAGGATACACCCAGA